GAACGGAAAATCCTGAGCCCAGTGCCTGGGCACAGGCGGGGAGGGAGGGACCCACGGCAGTGGTGGTCCTCGTGGCTCCCAGGGCCTGCCCTGCACGCAGGGGGTGAAGAACCTGCAGAACCATGGGAAAGGGGGAGGAAACTCAGAAACTGTGTTGGCTTGGGATAGGGATGTCTCTTTTTAAAGAAATACGAGTTGGAGTTACCTTATTTACGAAAAGTAAATAGGAATTTTAAGACTTAAAATTCAGTTATTCAACTAAATTGAAGTTAACAGTAGTCCCAAAGACCTCCTGGGTGTCCAGGTCTGTGCGAGACCCTGGTTGGTGGGGGAGGTAGAGGGCGGTCTGGGGAACAAATCCCTTGGAGATAAGCCAGGGCTGGGAAAGGCTCTGCTGAAAAAGCAACAGCCAAGCACTGTGGGGCCAGAGGGTGGGCCGGGGGAAGGGCTGGCCCCCATGGGATCTGCATCCTGCCATGTTCTCTCACTTCATCCTCACAACCCTGTGAGACAGATGTTAGAATCCCATTTTGCAGATAAGGAGACTGAGGCTCAGAGAAGTGAAATGACTTGCCTGTAGCCAACTGGTGATGGAGGCAGCATTTTAACCTGGCTGGTCTAATTGCAAAATGCTCTTAATACCACTTCACCTTGAGATTTGCCACGAAGAATCCATCTGTGCGTGCGTGCATGCGTGTGTGTATGTAGGGGGATGGGAGGGCAGGAGAAAAGACAGATAAAAGCAATCTGCTTGGTCATATTTTATAACTTCAGAAAGAAGAAAGGGAGGGAATAAAGAGCTGGGAAAGGAAGTCATAAGCACTCACCCACCCACCCACCCACCCACACTCTGCTTATTTTTGGATTATGGGCCAAATTATTAGCTTTTATAATGTTTTCTCTTGTCATTTTAGTTAGCAGATGAGCCAGCTGGCCATTGGTTCCTCAGCTGCTCTTTATCCTTTGAACTCTGGGAGCTCCTCCCTGCCTGGGACAGTCCCAGCCTCATTGAGATGAAAAATCTCTTGGGGCTGCAGCACAGGGTGGGTCAGACCACCAGCTGCTCACCCAGCTGTGCTCCTGTGGGTGGCGACCCGCTCAGTCGGGGGTCCTACAACTGCCACTCTGCTGTCCCATCTCCTCCTCCCCTGGCCCTGACTCTGAGTTAATCTCTGCCCTATCCTTCCAGACCCCCCAAATGATATATGGAAACCCACCTTCTCTCTCTCAACACTTCCTCCACCCCAGATTTCCTGGAAGTGGTTTGTGAGGGGTCTCCCCTCACTGCTCGTCAGCCATGTGCACTACACTCATCGCATCCCCCCTTCTCTGGCCTCTCCAGAAAGAGCAAAGGCTTTGGAGTCAGGCAGAGTGGAGTGGATTCAGCTGCCACCTACGATGACCTTGAGCGAGTCACCTGGCTGTGCCTCAGTTCCCGTATCTGTAAAATGGGATCAGAGGGTTCTTGTGAGAACTGAAGGCACCCACAGTAGACATTCATGAATATTACTGTGTGAAGCTGTGTGTTGTATGAAGGAAGGCTTCAAGAGGGAGGTGACATTTAAGCTGTGTTTTTATGGATGGCGTTTCTATGGTGACTGTTATTATTCCAGGTTACAGGAATTATGCCTAAAATCTCGTCGTTCCCCAAACCCACCCACAGGACAGATCTAGAGGTGCTGTATGCTACCTACAAACGGATGTGCCACTTTCCCTTCCCTGTGGGTTTCTGTCCTCCCCTTTTCTGATTGTTCTTCATGATTTGAACTTGAACTATGGCCCATTGTCCTCTCTTTCTCCTTGAGTTTCTCCCAAGTTGGTGTCAGCCTGGAGGGGCAAGTAAGAGAAGTGTGTCATGTGTGTGCTTCCCTCGTGTGCTGACCCATGTGCACCTGCGAGTGCTTACCCCCTCTGCAGGGACATCCCAGCCGGACACGGGTCCACTCTGCCCTGAGCTGAGAGAGGAGTCTTGGCATACAGCAGGGGCTCAATAAATGTTAAGATTCTGATGATATGCCTCTCAGACATGCCCAGAATTGACCAATTTGTGGACACTTTTACCTCACAATTCAACTGGATAATCAGTAACCTGAGATCACCAGACACAGGCCAGAGATGAAAGGACTTGTCCATAGCTGCACAGCAACAGATAAGAGCTGGGCGCTTGGACCCAAGCCTCCTTCCTGTGACCATAGTGACATCATCGTCATTATCCCAGCTCGGCTATTCCTTGAGCAACTATGCTGGGCCAGCCGCTTTATAAGCACAAGCTCTTCTAATCCTGAGGACGAAATGGGGAGCTCCAGATCCCCAACTTTCTCCTGGGATTTGTCGGGGGGTGGGAACTGACCACAGCCCCTCTGTCCAGGCTGGAGAGCAGAGGTTGGGCCAGGCCTGAGGACACAGCACACAGCCTGGTGGCCACCTCCCACCTGACCAACAGCTCTCCCTGGAGCACCGGGCAGTGCCCTGCTTGACCCTCTGTTCCTGGGAGGTCACTCACTAGGTATGTGGCCCACACCAGGAAGGGAAGAGCCAGCCTTCATCCCATCCCTCTGCCCAAACTTTTCCTCCCTGCTCGCCTCCTCCAGTAAGCCTTCCCCCAGGGAGCCCCTTCCGGAGAGCAGGAAGGGACCTCGGAGACCACCCAGCCCCCCTCCCTGCCCCTCTTGCACAGATGGGGAATCCCTAATCCAGACAGGAGAAGGCCCCCAGCAGGCCTCCTGGCTCCTAGGCCAAGTCTTAGGTCCTATTCTGCGCCGAGACCACACAACACAAACAGTGCTGGCAATGCTGTCCCGCTGAGAGCAGCTGGCATGTGGGGCCTCGGGCCTTAAACAGGAGGCCTGGTCCTGTTGGCCCCACACATCGGCCACGGCTACACCCAGTGTGGGGTGGAGGTGACTCTCGGGCAGGACAGGCAGGGGTTGTCTGTGATCCCGCTGTCTCTCTGCAGGCTCGATTCCAGGTGCCCTCCAAATACCAGCTCTCAGTTATGACAGCAACCAGATGACGTGTCCTCATTTTACAGATGAGGAAGCTGAGGACATCAGTACCATTAGTATCCCCATTTTACAGAGGGGAAAACAGAAGTTCAGTGATGCTAAGGACTGACTGGAGGTGAGAGAGCGTAGGGGAGCTGGGATTTGGACCTGGAACCCCCGACAGAGTCTACCTCTTCACCTCCACCCTGCACTGCTCCTTCTAAGTCAGGTCTGTGCGCTCCACCCCTCACCCCTGAGGTCTGGACTCCACATTTCTTCTCTGAAGCCAGAAGCTTTGGTGGAAAAGGCTCCAAGTGGGTATGAATAGGCTTTGTGAGTAGAGCCCTGTATGAAGACATGTTGTTATTTAAATATCACAAATCTAAACCATTATAAAATGCCATTTTTATCAGTTCAACTCTGCCTGTACTGTGCCTTCACAGAAAAGTCACGGTCCCTTTCTGGACTGAGGTTCTCTCTCCTGTAGGAAGGAGGACAGAGCCTTCTAGTCATCCAATGCAGGTTGCCTGGAGATGGCACCCAGTGATCCCTATCTCCTGATATTTGTGCCCTGTGCAATCCCCCCCTTTGAGTGTGAGCTAGACCTACTGACTCACTTCTACTGAACAGAATGTAGCAAAAATGATAGGATGTCCCTGTGGCAAGGATTTGAATGAGGCCTCTGGTCACATCCAGTGAGGAACTGAGTCTGGTTAGCAGCCACGTGAGCAAGCGTGGAAGGAGAGCCAGCAAGCCTTCAGAGACCACAGACCAGAGACACCCAGCTAAGCTGCACCTATGTTCTTGACTCACAAAAGCCCTGATATAATAAATACTTATTGCTTTAAGCTGCTAGGTTTTGGAGGGCGTTTGCTATGCAGCAATAGGTAACTAACATACCTAGTATCTGTATACTTGCTGCCAGCCCCTATGCTGCCCCTACATTCACTCAACACACATTTAGTGAGTGCCGCTGTGGACCAGGTACCGGGTGTACACGGTAAGCCAGGAAGATGCTGTCCCCACTCCCAAAGACCTCAAGGTGGAGTTGAGGAGACAGGCTTGTAAATGGATAGTGTGAGCAGTGGTATTGGGAGCCCAGGGAAGCACCTGACCTAGCCTGGAGAAGTAAGTGGAGGGATGTCCGAGACTGTGGAGATGTCCAGGCAAAGGTGGGCAGAAAGGCACCTCAGAAAGAGGCTGAGAGAGTGGCAAAGTGGGTTGTAAGGAGACCTCGCTCGGGGGGAACAAGGAGAAAAGACCATAGGAAAAGCCTGGCTGGAAGGGGAACATGGCAGAGGGAGGGCAGTGATCACACTGGGCCTCAAATGCCCATTGCGGAGCCTTGGGCTTATCTGCCAGGCAGTGGGGGGTCACGGGTTGTAAGCAACTGAGGGACATGGCTAGCAAGATTGAGAACATGACACTGGCAGCAGGATGAAGGATGGGGCAGAAGGGTCAAACCAGAGGGCAGGAACCAAGCAGGATGATGACGACACTGGTCCAGGAAGGGAATGATGGAGGCTGGGCTGGCCAAGAGCAGCTGAGAGGAGGGGACAGACCCCAGAGATACGAAGTGGGGGAATGGACAGAATTTGAGTTCTGAATGGATGGGGATGGGAGATGAGGGGGAGGGAGGGGGTAAGAATGCTGCCCAAGTTTCTGACAGGATGTCCAGTTGTGACTTTTACTTAGGTGGTGTGCAGAGACATGTGGACAGGTACTTGTTGGGAAGGCACGATGAGAGGGATGAATTGGCCAAATTGAGCTTGTGGTGTTGCCAGAATAAAAACCTATGGCAGGCTGCCCAGCTAGGAAGAGGGTCTACCCCTAGCCCAGCAGAGAAAGGCTACAGACTTGGTCTGGGACCCAAGGGGGATGTTAGAGAGGAGAGGCACATTGGAAAGTTCCCTGGGAGCCAAAGGGCCAGGGTGTGGAGAGTCTGGGAGGTGCGGGGGCAACCCTGCGGACGTTAGGGGCCACCTCAGCCCTCCAGCCTGGGGAAGGGTCACCCACCTGCTGCCCATAGCTCAGCGCCTTGTCGTAGAGTGTGATGCCAGCTGCCAGCACCCTCGCGCGCTCCTCTGGGCTGGCACAGCCCACGTCGAAACCATGTGCATAGCCTTGCTCTGACAGGCAGCGTGCGGCGCGGACCTGGGGGTCCCCATTAGTCTCAGAGTCAGCCTCCAGGCCCATGAGGCCGGCCAGTCTCCCAGCGCAAGCCTCTTCCTCTTCCTCCCGACCCAGGCGCCCGTACACATGCGCCAGATTGGCCCAGGCGTTGAGGTTGCCAGGGTCCTCACGGGCCACCTCGAGGAAGCGCTCGCGGGCCTCGTCCAGCTCCTCCAGGTAGAAGGCAAAGGTGCCCAGGAGGTGGCGCACTGCCGAGCGCTGCGGGGCGGCCACCAGCTCGAGCTCCTGCCGCAGGCCATCCCGTTGCAGCTTCAGGTCTCGGGCGCGGAGCGAGGCGGGCGAACTCGGCTCGAAGTTCAGCTGCATCTCCAGGTGGAAGTGGCCCGGGAGGTAGTCCAGGTCGTCGATGAGGGCGTCCAGATCCTCGGCCACGCCCTCGGGGTCTGCCATGTCTGCCCTGCTGCTCCGGGGCCTGGCCCTTGCCCCAGAGGCTGCGGAGGGCAGTGGATGGGGCGCCCCCCAAGCGAGCCTGGGCTGGGAGGTGATCAGCGTGCGGCGGCCCAGGGCGCGGCCACCTCCGGGTCCTGGGGCGCCTCCCGCCTGCCTGTGGGTTGGTCTCTGTGGGTGTTTCCGCTTTCGCTACTCAGCCGCTCTTAGACACCTGCATTGCTCAGCCAGGTGTACCAGACAAACAGGTGCATTGCCAAATGCGCAGCGCTGCAAACCCGGTGCATGGCAAAAGGCGTGTTTTCGCTCTCTGCTGAAGAAACTGAGGCTCAGGAGGAAAAGGACTTGCCGAACGAAGTCACAGAACTGCGGTGTGCTCAACCAGGCCTGGAGCCCAGCCAGGCTCTTCCTCTGAGAGCACTGCCCCGCCCTCCCTGCGTGAGCTGCTGGCCAGGAGAGTCGGGACTGGCCCTTCCAGCTGCCTGCATCCGCCACCCTCGTTCCTGCTGCTGTCCCGTCCTCACCATGGCTTCTCAGTTTTCTTCCTCCGAACAGAGCCTGCCACCTCCCTTCCATTCTTCCTTTGGCCTTATTTACCAGGCTCCTCCACTTGGGGTTTCTCAGACTCCTCTCTGCCCTGCAGTTGGCCCCACCGGAAAGACTGAGGGGCTCCATGTGCTGGTTCTAATTCTGGTTCTCCCCCGCTAAGGTGTGATCGTCATGTCACACTTCAGACTTTCCTCATCTGACATGAGGGTGATAGCCTCTCACCCAGGGCAGGGTAGATGTCATGGGAAAACCTGGTGGGTGTCACCCTGGATAACTGCCAGCTCCCACTCCTTAGCCGTGCTTCCCATCCCATCCTGCAGCTCACGGGTGGCCTTGACAGGCTGGGTTCCCTACCCTCTAGAAGGCTGGCTGGCTGTCCTCCAGTGCTTGGCTTTTGTAGCAAGTCCGAACTTCTGAGTCCCTCCTGTCCTCACTAGAGACCCTGTTTCTTCAACTTTTTGAAAAATAGAACAGCCTTTGCAAAAGCAAACATAGAGCAGACAAAAGTAAACTTGGGGAAAATATTTGACTTGAACAATACAAAAGTAAATTAAAACAACATTCTGGTGCTGTTTTTCACCTGTAATTTAAAAGTATAAAATAGAATCGTTTTCATTAGAAAATCTGTTTCTATAAATTTCTGGTGATTATGAGATGAAATGTGGGTTCTGACCTGCTTGGAAGGACCAGGAAGGATGGAATTTCAGAGTGTTTGTTTGCTTGTTTTTTAAATTTTGATTGTGATAACATACACTTAACATAAAAGTTACCATTTTAACCATTTTTAAGTATACAATTTCATAGCATTAAGTATATTCACATTGTTGAGCAACCATTACCACCATCCATTTCCAGAACTTTTTCATCTTCTCAAACTGAAACTCTGTACCCATTAGATAATATCGCCCTTCCCCCTTCCCTAGCCCCGGGTAACCACCATTCCACTGCTGCCTCAATTAACTTGGCTATTTTAGCTACCTCGTATGAGTGGAATAATATAATATTTGCCCTTTTGTCTGGCTTATTTCACTTAGGATAATATTGTCAGTGTTCATCCATGTTGTAGCATATGTCAAAATTTCCTTCCTTTTTAAGGCTGAATATTTCATTGTGTGCATATTACACATGTTGTTCATCCATTCATCCGTTCATGCCAAGAGGGTGGCTTCTGTCTCTTGATTATTGAGAATAATGCAGCTATGAACATGGGTGTTCAAATTTGAGACCCTGCTTTCCAGAAGTGGAATTGCTTGGTCATATGGTAATTCTCTGTACCATAGAATTGTTTGAAGAATTGCTGTACTGTTTTCCACAGGATCTGCACCATTTTACATTCCCACCAACAATACACAAATGTTACAATTCATCTACATCCTTGCCAACACTTGTTATTGTTTCTGGTTTTGTTTTGCTTTTTATCATGGCTTTTGATCTGACTCAGAGAAGATGAGTAGGACTTGGATGGGGAGATGTATTTCAGCAGCAGGAAAGGCATATGAGAAGGCTAGAGGTTTGCAGTGCAGGGTATGCCCAGGGACAGAGCAGCCTCATATGGTTGAAGCTTGGGGAGGAGATGGCCAGAGATGAGGACTAAAGGCAGTGGCCACAGCCCCATACAGAAGCGTGAATCCTGGCCAAGAAGCTTGACTTAACTTGGTTGACATAACAGATGGCTCCAGAATTAGGATGAGTTAGAAACTCTTGCAGCCAGGGAACTCTCAAACCGAGTTATGCATTCCATGTGCACTGTGTGATTCGACACCTCACTAGATGAGACCACCCTCCCTGTCTGAGCCTTAGTTTCCTCTTCTGTATAATGGGGGTAGGATGGGGGTTGCAGCGGTACCTACAAGAGAGAAAGAGTGAGTTGTTGTGTTGGGGAGGCTGTGGGCTAACTAGGGCAGGCTGCCTTGCTGCACAGCTGACTCACCCTGGCCTGCTCTGGTCTGTCTGGCAGCCAGGACGCCCATCCCAGTGGACCTTGGCCTATATCCTGTGATCACTCCTGCTTCCATGAGTCCCACAGCCAAGAGGCTCAAGCTGGGACGGAAGCAGCCCCAGGCAGGTCTGGGCCACCCTGAAAGTGCCTGAGCAGACCCAGGGCTGGTCACAAGGACTCCCCATGCACAGGACTTGGTAGTGTCCACAGCCACACTTCACTGACACCCCAAAACAGCTCCTCCAGGAAGCTGCAGTCATATGTCTGCAGGAAACTGAACTTTGGCTGGAGTAACTTGCCCAAGGCCACCAGCTAGAAAGCAGCAGGGCCAGGATTCAAAGGAGTCTCTTTAAGGATTTGTGCACTCTTGGGAAGTTGGACTAGATTAATTTATTTGTTCATCATTGAGCAAATACTTCCTGAGCATATGCTATGTGCCAGGCACTGCACCAATAGTGAATGAGACACAGTCTCTGCCCTGGACCTTCTGAAAGTCCCTTTCCAAGGGTGGGTAATGAGCTCTCACTGAGCTTCTGCTACATGTCAGGCGCATACACCTAAGTTAGCTCATTTAATCCTCACAGCAATCTGGAGACACAAGATAATTAGCTTTATTTTACAGGTAAGAAAGTTGAGAATCAGAAAAGGAGGTGGCCTGCCCCAGGTAGCACAGCTGGGAAGGGACAGAGTCTGCAGGTGTCTGTTCAGTGTGTGTTCTGCTCAGCAGTGCAGGGGGACACCACCAGTCGTGGCCTTGCACTGCCTGACCTGGTACCTAAGCTTCTTGGCTGTGCTGGGGCTTCAGACTTCCTATTTAAATGCTACACTGGGATGTCAGAAGGTCATTGGGTGGGGACTGAAAGGAGGCAGTAGTCCAGTTCCACCACCAGCTAGATGCAGAGCAAGTCCTATTTCTGACTTAAGTCCTGTCATAAAAAATGGGGGTAGCTCTCCGCTGTGCCAAATAAAGGAAGAGGAGGAGGGAAGAGAGCAGACCATGCCCCTTTGGCAGCATATACTCTCAGCTCCCTTCTTTACCTATCGGTCATACATATACTTCAATGATGAGTTTGGAACTTTGCTCCAGAAAACCTTCCCTGATCTATTCCCTCAGGGGCTGGGTCAGAGGCCTTCCTCTCTCATAGGCCGGGCCACACTTTGTGGTCATTGTTTCCCCTACTAGACTCTCAGGGCTGGGACCTCCTATGGATGCCGCGCACCCTGCACAGACTCTGCCGAGAGCTGTGTGTGTTGGGGGAATGTCTGAAGGACGATGCATCCTGACTCTATCCTTGCGACCCTTCCTTGCCTCTCTGCAGCCTTACTCAGCCCTCCCCTCTGGCTCTCCTTCTCTTCCCAAAGGGGAGAAGGAACCAGGTACCGCCTTTGACCAAGTTGAACCTTCGTGGGTCTGTGTCCCCATGAGCATAAGGGGAACACCGAGACGCATTTCCTGAGCTGTGCTCCAACTGGCCCATTGCCGAGCCCAGGGAGAAAACAAGGAATCAGAAACAATTCTTCAACAAGCGACTCTAAAACCGCCGATGGCATCCATATTCAGCACCACGAGGGGCCATTAATCTGCAGGGCCCGGGGAAGGATGACGGCAAGGCAGCCAGGGACAACCTGCACAGAGGACTGAACCAGTCACCGGACAGCGCGGGCCGGCCGGCAGGGGGCACCACGTCAGTACCGACGCAGCCACGGTTCTCTGGCGAATCACAAATCTCAAGGCCCGGTTGCTGTGGCAGCGGCAGGCGCCCGCCCGACCGGCGACAGGAGGCAGGCGGCGGAGTCCTGCGAGGAGGGGTGGGAGCCCAGCCGCGAGGCCCTCGCCCTGCGGGCGGGGAGCAGGCAGCATGTCCACCAAGCGTTCCAGCCGGGCAGCCTTCGGGTCGCAGAGCCACAGGTGGGGCTGCGCTGGGGGCCAGGGAGAGGGCGCCCCATGCAGGGCTGCAGCCTGCGGGAGGGGGGAGCTGTAGGAGGGGCTGGCAGGAGGGGTGGGAGGCTGGGCTTTCTCTCGCCCTCATACCTGCCGCTCTGCCCTGCCCAGAGTCCATTGATCACTGTTAAGTCATTTAAAACCATTTCAAAAGCACCTACAAGGTGCCAGGCTCAGAGAGGCCAAGTGGCCTGGCCCACAGCAGGTCGCTCAGCTTAAAAGTGGTGGTTAGGACCCTGGCTGGTTTGGTTCAGCGGTTGGAGCGTCAGCCTGAGGACCGATGAGTCTTGGGTTCGATTCTGACCAAGGGCACGTACCTTGGTTGCCCTTGGTCCTGGCCCCGGTCGGATCGTGCAGGGGCAGCCAGTCAATGTGTCTCTTTCACATGGATGTTTCTCTCTCTCCCTCCCATTCTGTCTGAGATGAATGGAAAAGTATCCTCTGGTGAGGATTAAAAAAAAAAAAATTTAAAAGTGGTGGTTAGGATTTCAATCCAGGGGTCTTTCTTCGTTCATATGTACACATGATACTGAGGTGTATATATACCACTTATTATATGTATATATCGCCTAGGATGTATCAGGCACAGTTCTAGCATCTGGGGATACAGCAGTGAACAAAGCAGCAAAACCTTGTAGTCAGGGTTTGCATTCTTGGAGGGCAGGGTGGTTGGAGTGGATAATAAATAAGTAAAATATATAAAATGTTGGGGAGTGATAAGGGTTATGGAGAAATAGAAAGCTGGGAGGAGGAGCCGGGAAGTGCTGGAGGGTGGGGTGGGGTGGGGTGGGGGTTGCACTGAGAAAATGACTTTTGAGTAAAGGCTCCCAGCACGGGAGGAGACCAGGCAGGAGTGGTGAGGTGACCAGGAAGGAGGAAGACCCTGAGGTGGGAGCACCTGCTCATTCTTCCCCAGCTAACTCCAAAGTCACTTTCCCTGCCCCCTAGAACTGCTCATTGTAGGGCTGGGTGCCAGGCACTGGGCTCTCGCGGGGCCTCTGTCCTTCCCCAGGTTTGATAGTGCTGCCGCTTGCCCCAACCAGAAGAAGCTGAGCACCTTAACGGAGGCCCACTGCTCCAGGTTTAATTCCGTGGACGATGTGAGTTTGCCCAGCTTCGCTGACTCTCCATGTGGTCTGGCCCTGCCCGCTGAGTCCCCCACCATGGTGGACGAGCTGAGCCCTGTAGGGATATGCCTACATCTCTCCATGCCCTGTCCTCAGCACAGCGCAGGGCAGGACTGTGGCAAAACGGCATGGGTCAGGGCCACAGACACCTGGGTTCCATGCCCATCTCTTGCACTGACTGTGGGTTCCTGAACGAGTTGCTGAAGTGTAAGGGCAGTGACAGGAATTCATGATGATAACCTTGAGCCCACACCCCCTCAGTGCCAGGCAGGTGCTAGGGGTGGGGCCTGAGAGGGGTGGGTCACTCCCAGGTCACGGTGGCAGCTTCATGAGGACTTGCTCTGTGGGTGGACTGAGTGTGTGCGGCTGTCCCAGGTCTGACTGTGCTCTGACTCAGTCCCACTTAGGACCTGGCACCTATGGCTACAAGGAGACTTGCTTCAGCAAGAAAAAGCTGATGAAGGAGGTGGGCACAGGCTGGGCCAAGGCCCAGGAAGCCACCCGGCTTACCCAGATGCCCCACTTCCAGTACCAGGCCATCCTGAGAGAGAAGCAGCTGCAGGTGAGGTCCCTGGGCTGTGCCCCTCCCCACTCCAAGGGGGCCACAGGCCCAGGGAGAGCTCATCCTTTAAGGAGCATCACCGTTCCCCAGGCTCCTTCCCATGTGAACATCCTCAAGTTTAAGGTTTTCACCTTTTCTCTTCTCTGGGGGCAGAAGGAAAAGCTGGGGCCCGGCTCTTACAACTTCAAAGACTTCTTAGAACAACTGCAGCAGAAACCATGCAGCACCCGGGGGCTGCTCAGCTCTGGGGAGGTTCGCTTCCGAGGACCCATCGGGGTAGGTGTTCTCCTGTGAGGGGTGGGAGCCCTCCCATCCTCTGCTCTCTCCAGAGCATGTAGCCGGGTGGGGCTGGAAGCACCCCCCTCATCCCATTTCCTCCCCAGGCTTGGCCAGGCTCTCCTTTGGGTCCCCGTAGCCCTCAGCTCTCCAGTGCCACAGCCTCAAGTCCACTGGCTGTTGTGCATCTCTGTGTCTGTCCCCCAACTAGACCGGAAGTCCCCTGCTAGCAGGGATGATTCTGGTTCATCTCTGAGTCCCCAGCACAAAGCCCAGCACACACTGGGTGCTCAGCAAACTCGTTCATCTATATATCCAGCCAGCCAGCCAGTGACGGAGCACCCACTAAGTGCCATGCATTGTGGCTGGCCCTGGAGACCCAGCAGTGATGAAGACAAGGTTCCTGCTGTCCTGGGGCTGGCATTCTAGTGCTAGAAACAGCAGTATCAAGAAGCCAATCGTGTATTATTAGGGTTATGAGGAAACTTGAGACAGGGAAGGGCTAGAGAGTGATAGACGTGCAATTTAAAGGTGGTCTGGGATGGCTTCTGAGCAAAACCCACAGGATACAAGCAACTGAGATTCATGGTATCGGCAAAAGAGCATTCTGGGCAAGCAGGAGCAGCCAAGACTAAGGCCCCGAGTCCGACCAGCTGGCGGGAGGCCGGTGTGTCTGGGGAGAGTGGGCAAGGCCGGAGGCGGAGAGAGCAGGAGTGAGGGCGGGCCTTGAGGGCCTTGCGGCAATGTGGGGGCTTCTGTTTGATTCCAAGTGCTGTGGAGGTCGGTGGAGGGTTTGGACGGGAAGGGCCTGGCTTACATTTTCAGGGGTACACCCTGCTTATGGAGGTGAGGGCTGGAGGCTGCAACGGTCCAGATGGGAGGTGAAAGGCATGGTAGGTGGGGGGTGGCAGGAGGGCTGCAATGGTATCGCTGTGGGCTGGGACGAACATCCCATGTTGGGGGGACACTGAGTGGGTTTCAAGCTCAATAAGGTCATGAAAGAGAAGGCAGGCGTCACCTCATACCAGGTGAGCACTGTGGTTGCCGAGTGCCCCAACCCCTGGCCCCGGGCTCCGTGCTGGACACTCTTGGCCTCCCAGCTCCTCACATGCGCCATGCTCTTCAACGAGGGCTTCGCTCCTGCTCTGCCTGTTGCCAGAGATGCCCTTCCCTCAGTAGCCCTGCATCTAAAGAACTCCTACTCATCCCTCTGCTCTCAGCTCCAAGGTCTGACCTGAGCCCTACTAGGTGACATCTCCCTTTCCTCAGAATCCCTATTGTGATCATGTGTCTATGCCTGCCCCCACCACCCGCGCTGGACATCAGCCCCCAAGGGTGGACCACATCTGCCTAGTTGCTGCAGAAGCCCCAGTCCTGGCAGTGCCTGGCACATGGTAGGCATGCAGTGAGTATCTGTGGACTGTGGGCAGGCACGCCTCCTGAGCACCGGGTGCTCCAAAACATTCGCATTTTTTTTTTTATCCTCACCCGAGGACATTTTTCCATTTTTTTTGTTCAGATAGAGTGGGAGGGGGAGAGAGAGAGAGAGAGAAACATCGACGTGAAAGGAACACATCGAGTGGCTGCCACCCGCACGACCAACCAGGGCCGGGGACAAACTGCAACCGGGTACATGCCCTTAGCGGGAACCGAACCCGGGTCTCTCTGGACCGCAGGCCGACTCTCTAACCGCTGAGCCAAACCGGCCAGGGCAACATTCGCATTTTTTACATTCACTCCTAATGAGGACTTGGAGGCTCAGAGAGGATATGCAACTTGTCCCAGGCTGCACAGCTGTAAGTGAGGCATGTCCAACCCCACAGCCAGGGCCTTTCCCCACCACTGCATCATTGGGAAGCCTTTGAGGCCCGGAAATTACTCCTTGCCTTGCTCAGGGACAAGCACCTGCCTCTTCAGGTTCAGATGCTTAGAGAGGGTGCCTGCAGGCATTTTGAAATGAGGCGTCACCTTCCAGTCTAAAGCGGTCATCTTAGCACTTCCCAGTACTGTTCTAAGCACTTCGGTGTACTCATTCATTTAATCTTCACAGCAACCCTATGAAGTTAGTACTATCGTTGTCTCCACTTTCTAGATGAGAAAATGAGTACAGGGGTTTGCAGTAACTGCCCAAGGTCCCAGAGCTACTAAGTGACAGAAGCAGGATTTGAATCCAGGTGTCCACATGTAACCTCTGCACTGTATCCAAGGCTGGGCTCACTTGGATTTTGTTCCTCAACTAACAGTGGAGGACAAGGTCTACTGTCAGAGCCCAGCCCAGCTGATGGCGGAGGAGTTGGGGGAACATATCTGATCCAGTGTGTTTCCTTCCTGTGTCCTCAGCCCCCAGCTCTGGAGCATCTGTGGGTGTCGGCTGAGCAGGGTGACAATGGTGTGTCCTTCCCTTCCAGCTGTTTCTTCTCCCCCTGGTCCCATATCTGCTCCTGCAGTAACCTTGTCTATGCCTTGCAGGATTTCTCGGAGTTGCTCTCCTAGGCTCAGCCCTGGACAGGAAGTTCAGGGAGGTGTCACTACCCGGGTGGGTGAAGGCAGTACCTTGGGGAGCTCATTCCAAAGCCTGCTTTTCTCCATCCTCGTCTTGCTGTGAGATCTGGGCTGGGAGCCTGATGGCCTCTTCTGGTCTCTGGTCCCTACTGTTGTCCCCCCACCACTGTAGGTCTATACACTCCTCCTGCCAAAGTGGGTGCCTGCTTTGGGGTTCCATGCCTCCTTCCGCCCAGAGGACAGGCTGTGGAACCCTGCAGAGGCAGTGCCTCCTCCGGTTTCTGAACTCCACCCCCACTGGCACCGGTGTGTCCGCCAGCCCTCCCTCTGCATCCCCCCCCTTGGCTTCGGGGACACTGGGCTCTGCAGCCCTGGAGTTCCTCTGTCAGCCTCCCTCTGTGGCTCCTCTTCCCGGGCCCTCCTGTCTTTGGGGTGACCTCTTTCACTCAGCCAGACTCCATGCAGATGGCTCCAGATCCGACCCCAGGGTCCCTCTGGTACCTCAGATTCTGCACCCCGCCCCCATCACGTCAGCCGCTACCCCAGACCTGCTCTCCTGGGGATGGCTCCACCCTGCAACCAGAGCCAGAAACCCCACACCTGTTCCCCTGCAGTCACTGGCGCTGTGCTCTAGCCTCCCGTCCTCCTCCCATCCCTCCAGACGACTGCCCCACCTCACCCAGGGGCGGCCTCCTGACGATCCCCTGGTCTCCCACATTGGCAGCACCTTCCAGGGCTCTTCACCTCTTCCCACCATACCTCTCCCAACTCACCCAGAGGTGTTCCGGCCCCCATGCCTCTGCCCCTCTGCCCGGCGGACTGCCCCCTTCCCCCACCCCTCCCCTAGGATCCTTCTTGTTCTTCAAGGTCCAGCTAAAAAGCCTTCCAAGTGCCAATTCTTTTACCCCACCCCCACCCCGAATTAATCACTCCTTCTGCCTGGATCCCAGAAGCTCTGACGACATACCTTTCTAGTTAAAACCACAGGCTTTCACCTCAGCCGGTGTGTGACACTCTGGACCTGAGTCTGAGGCTCTGCCCGGAGTGCCCGGCAGGCGGGAGCAGCGGCGTCTCGCCCCCTTTCCTGTCGGTCACTTGTAAGGCCTCAGGGAGGCCGTGATGCTCAGCGCCCTCCCACCTTGTGCCCAAATGGTGCCTGGCAAACAGTAGAGGCTCCAAAAGACTGGATTCGGGAGTTGGAACCCGTGCACTGCCCCTTTCTGGAGGTGGGGCCTTGGACACACAGTTGGCCTCTCCGGGACTCGGTTTCCCCATCTGTTAATCACAGATGGTGCTGATTTGATCTCATGGGGTTGTCTCCAGGACCACCTAACACGTCATGCAGGGACCCAGCTTCCCACATTGGGGCTTTTCTCCTGAACACACTGCAAACCCCGGGCCCTGGAAGGTGATGGTTAGTCATTTTCCCCCCGAGCGTGAACAATTCAGATGCTGGCAGTGGCCTGACTGTCCCCCTCCCCCGCAGAGCTCCCTGTCCCCTCCACCCGCCCAGTTGGGGCTGCTTCCCCAGGGCTTCTAGGGGCCGGTGGTGGGAAGGGCTGAGCCATCGTGGAGCGGCAGCGACCCCTCGTGGCTAAAAAATACAGAGCAGCAACAAACATCTTGCTGGGTCTCTGCCCAAGGACCTCCCCCTCCCACCCACCTACACTGCTGGGTGGCTCTTCTCACTCCATCTACAAAGAACACACTTCTGACCTTGGCAGTCAAGGTCCCAGATGGTCATTCCAGCCTTCCAGCCATAATTATCAGCCTCTCTTACCTCCTCCCATGCCCCAAATCAGCCACCCAACCCTGACTCGTCAGTGCCCACTATGGGCCGGGCACTGTGCAGGAGGCTTTATTTTAAAAGCTTGTCCTCGTTACCCTGGAAGAAAGCGTCACCATTCCCATGTTACAAAGGTGGACCATGAGGCTCAGGCGGATGAAGTGGCCTGCCCACGTCACTCAGCTAGACTCCAGATCCTTCCAGGTCACAGCAGTGCTCACAGCACAGTGTGACTCATTCATGCAGCTGCAGGGCTAGGCCATGGGCAATGGATGGAATTGCCGAGGCCACCAAAGCAAGCAGCTGTCTGGGTGATGGGGAAGGAAGGCTTCAGTCCCAGGAGAGGGGGCATTTGAGTCGGCTCATAGAAGAATGTTCCAAGGCAAAGAAGGCAGGAAGGGCCTTGCAGGTGGCAGTATCGGCACGAGTGAGCGAAGGCACGGAGGTTGGCAGAGCGGCGTGTGTTTGGGGACCAGCGAGGACCCACTCAGGTTGCAGTGGGGGTAGGAAAAGAGCAGTGAGCTAAGCTGACAGGCAGCAGGGTCCTGGTGAAGAGTCTGACCTTGGAAACGAAGGTCTGATCAGTGATGGAGGCTCACAGGCCCACAGTGCTGTGTGTCGGGGGGCAGTGGACACCCAGGGTCCCTGAAAATCCTATTCCCTCTTGGGGGGTATCTCTTCCTCAGGTACACTTAGCATAAGAAGTGGGACTGCCCTGGCCAGTTTGGCTCAGCGGTTAGAGCGTTGGCCTGCGGTCCGGAGAGACCCGGGTTCGGTTCCCGCTGAGGGCACGTACTTCGGTTGCAGTTTGTCCCCGGCCCTGGTTGGTCGTGCGGGTGGCAGCCACTCGATGTGTCCCTTCACGTCGATGTTTCTCTCTCTCTCTCTCCCTTCCTCTCTCTTCCTCCCACTCTATCTGTACAAAAAATGGAAAAATATCCTCGGGTGAGGAAAAAAAAAAAAGGAGAAGTGGGACTGATGGCCTTCATGTCCCTCCCTCCCCCCACAGAACTACTATCCAGGCCCTGGGAATTATGGTGAGAAGGGCAACCCTTACACGAAGCTGGAGGAGAAGGCCTGGAACCGCTCTCATTCCGAGGGCCTCATGTGCAGGATGACCAACAAGCCGTCCTCCACGGCTCCTCAGGTACCTCCTCACCTGACCGGGCCTGGCTGCCTTCCTGCGCAGTCCTGCAGGCAGACTCCCAGAACAGATGGGAAACCGAGACTCCGAGGGGCCCTGGGCCCTCCCACAGAGCCTGGCACCTGTGCTCTGTTCTAGGGCAGCGGTCTGGCACCATGCACCTACACCCTCAAAAGCGGCATAGAGGCATGCCTGGAACGATCCATGGGCACCCGCGGCTTCTACGACATTTTCTCTGGTGATCGAAGCAAGCCCCAGCCTTACGGACATTACTCTGTGCAGGTGTGTAGCAGGAGGGGTGAGGGGGGCATTCCCCAGCAGGTTAACAGGCCTCACTTACTACCAACGGGAACACCACCCCGTGAGCCAGGGACCATGCAGGGCCCTCCCCACATCCTGCTCACCTCGAGGGCGGGATGTCTCCCTGTGTTAGGTGAGGAGACTGAGGCTGGTCACACGGGATTTGGTCAGGCTGGTCAGGATTTGAACCCCACACGCCTGTCTGACTTCACCGCCAGTTCTCTCTCCTCGGCCCTGGCATGAACTACAGAGGCAGTGCAGATGGCCACAGTGCCATCGGGATAGGACACTGGCCACAAAGCCTGCAGGGACCTTGACAGCTAGGCCGGGGTGTCCTGCTGTTCTGGGCACACTTCACAGGCCCGGTTAGTGCTGCACTGTTAACGAGGCAGAGAACTGGAGGGCTGGGAGGGGAAACCGAGGCAGAATGTTAGCTCCAACTTCCCTTTCCTGTACCCATCAGGTTCCTGTTGCGGGATCCATAGCACCCTGTGCTTTGCTTGCTTCATGCTCGTAGCAACCGGACTTAATTAAGTATTTGTGTAATTACCTGTTTGTTTGGTCTCCACTGTGCATTCACTCAGTGTGCACGGCCAGGCCAGGCAATGGTCTAGGTGCGGGGAAGCCTGCCCCCTTGGCGTTTACATTCTAATGGAAATAGAAACATAGTCATGAGTGGAAACAGTGTAGTGTTAGCAGGTGGTGAGTGCTGTGCTGAGCGCCCCGGAGTGCGGGGAGGAGGGGGTGGTGGTGAGGTACTGAATACCTTCAGACCAGGCGGTAAATAGCCACTGAACAGAGCCCGCCTGGTGCAGCTCCCCTGGGCCTTTCCAGGTGGGCCTGCCAGGCACAGCAGGGACCTTGGCCCTGTAGTCAGTGCCCATTCTGAACGTAGTACCCAGACCACGTCATCTTTTTTATTATCTGAAAAATAATAGACTCTATTTTTCCTTTAAGTTCCCAGCAAAATTACGCAGAAAGCACAGAGTTCCCATGTACCTTCTGTCCCCCGACACGCACAGCCTCCTCCACCATCAACACCTCGGCCCAGAGGGTACCCCTGTTATAATCAGTGAACCTACATTGATACGTCATCACCCAACGTCTACAGCGCACATTAGGCTTCGCTCTCGGTGCTGTACATTCCGGGCACATGCACACGTGTGTAACGACACGTACCCACCACCAGAGGGTCAGACGGCGCAGTTTCTTGCCCTAAAAGTGATCCCCACCACACTGGGGGTTAAATATTTGGACTACCCCTCCTGCTGAGACTCAGCAAATGTCCATGAAATGAGTGAAAGAAAGATAAACTCAAGCTGGGTTAGAGGGTGTGGCCTGTAGGGGGTGCTAGAGACTGTCACACTGACCCCACCGAGCCGGGCTGCTCCTCCCCTGCCTGGGCCTGGCCGCAGGTGTCCTCAAGCAGTGTGGGGAGTGATGCCTTACTGGGTGGCCACCTGCTTTTCTCTGCGTCTGAGGGTCCAGAAAGGCGCCCTGGATCTTCCTGGCGTAACAGCTCACTTTCCCCACCCACCCCTCTGTTTCACAGAAAAAAAAACCCAGTGAACTGTTGGGTTTCAAGAGCTTCGTGGACGAACTTAACTCTCGTCACAATAAGAAGCGCGGGGTGTTTTCAAAACTTTCCCGCAACCCAGCAACCCCTTCGGAGAGGATTTACTGGAGCACCCTCAGCCAGTGTCCCCGCAAACTAGTCAGTATCCCCCCAGGGCCTGCCTTCCTTCCTCTCTCAGACGGCGGCTCTGCAGGCCCGGGTGGAGTGGGTGGCTCTCTCTGGGGAAAGCTCAGCCTTGGGGTCAGACCCACCTGGGTCCCGGTCCTGGTCTTGCACTTACCGGCCACGCTGGGTGGGTCCCTCTCTGAGGCCACGCTGGGTGGGTCCCTCTCTGAGGCCACGCTGGGTGGGTCCCTCTCTGAGCGCTGGTTTGCACTGTTGACCTAACCAGGAGCGTAACCAGGTGGCTGTGAGAATTAAATGAGGTTGAGGGCTGGAGCCCATAGCGGGGAGCCTGGGATGGAAAGTGGGGGCTAGCACTGCTCTCCGCCCTGCCCCTCCCTCTCCTGGGGAGAAAACAAGGGGGACATGGGGCAGGGCGGTGTGAATAGGGCTCTACCCTGATGGAGGGCTGCACACCTGTTCCAGCTCGGGGGTCTTGGGCTCCTCTCTGTGGGGTCAGCCTGTCATCTGACTTTAGCTGGGTCTGCCCCCCCCCCCATCTCTTTGAGAGAACGGCTAAAGGGTTGGGAAGGAGTGGGGTCTGGGGAAGAAAAAAGGGTACCAACATTTCCTGAATGCCTGCTCTGGGTTAGGCACCTCCTAGCACCTCCCCCCACGGAGGGATCGCCATTTACATTTCACAAAAGGACACTGAGCTCCAGAGAAAGGAAGAGATTTGCCCAGGCTCCTCCAGCAAGGGTATGAGAAGGAGCAGATTGGAATCCAATTCATGTGGCTCCAAAGTCTGAGAGTGCCTAGACCCCAGCCTGGGGAGCTCCCTGGACCCTGCCAGGCCTGGAGGGCCCCTGGGAACCTGGAAAGAGGTGTCAGGCTAGTGGGTGGAGGTTAGCAGGGGTGGCATGGATTATGATGGCACCATAGGGCCCTTCACCCCTGGCGGATGGGCTCCTGCTGAGTTGGAAGGTGGCTGGCCTCCACTGTCCTTGGCTCAAGGCCCAGGGCTGTCAGGGAGCCCCCATCAGCCCTGGCCCCAGGCTGACCGCTGCCAGACCTCCCAGCTTTCAGCCTTCATCCCTCACCTTTAGGCCACATCCGGCCCCAGTATGTGGCTTCCTTCAGAGAAGGAATGCAGAAACGTCAACCAGCCGCCGTTCCTGCTGTCCTCCAAGCGAACAGGCTTAAAAGCCTACCAGATGCTGCTGGGAAGCTGGGTGAGTGGATCTGCTGGGGTGATGAGCAGCCCCAAACCCTCCTGCCCCCTGGGAATTGGTGCTCTGAGTGAGCCCGATTCCCTCTCTTTTCTCCCCCAGGGACAAACACCCACTCCCACTGTCTTATTTTTCTAAGGCATTGGCTTATAAACCTGAGCGGGCATTAGCATCACCTTCGAATGCTTGTTAAAAGACACACTTCTGGGCCCCACGCCAGAGCATCTGATTCAGAAGCCTGGGGAGGGGCCTTGGGATTTATGTTTCTAACAAATTCCCAGGTGATGCAGATGCTGCTATTCTAGGGACCACACTTTGAGAAGCACTGCGCTAAGGGACATCACCTCAGAACCATCTTGTTCCCTTATTTTCCCAGGGGGATGCTCCCTCCATCCTCTTTGTGTGTGTCTTGCGGCTTCAGGGGCGACTGCTGGAGTCGGCCCATTTCTCATCACTGGTTGAGCAAGGGCTCCTTGTGTTCCCCCCTTCCCCCCCTTCCTCCTCCCCACAGGCAGCCAACCCCGCTTGTGTGATGTAATCTTCCTCTGTCCTGACTTCCAGTAGCACCGGTTAGTTTTGCCTGGATTTGAATAGCTGTATATTTTTAAGGTCTCTTCTGGTTTCCCTGGGAACATCTTGCTTGTAACTTATTTGCCTTCTCATTATGCTCCCACTGCCTCATCTGAGGACAGCAGCATGCCAACCTCCTCGCCTCGCTTGGTCCCCAGTGTGCCCGCACTGCCAGCCCTACCTGACTGAGGACCAGCTAGTCAGTGCCCCTCATCCTTCCTCTCCTCACCTCCAGCCTGCATCTCCTGCAGGGAAGAGTCTCCCCCCGGGCACCCCAAATAAGACATTCAGAAAAGAACCCGACGCCCATGCTGCTACCACAGGGCTGGCCAAAGTGGGAGGGCTGAAGTGAGGCCCTTTGCACCTGGCTGGGGGCTGCCCCCGAGCCAGGCCTGTCCGTAGTTGGCAGCAGCTTCAGCTTCACACTGGGCTAGTGTTTGGTTCCTAACATCTCCCAGCTCACCTGGGTACTGCTCTTTCTCCGCAGATGGCAGGGCCCTGTCACCGGGGCAGGTCGGTCTCCTCTCTGAACCTCTGTGGCACCTCTTGTACCTATGACCAACCCGGGTTTCTGAGTGGGATGGCATATTAATTTCCCAGGGCTGCCATAGCCAAGCAGCACAGACTAGATGGTTTAAAACAACAGGGATCCATCCTCTCTAGCTCTGGAGGCCGGAAGTCTGAAATCCATGTGTCAGCAGGACTGTGCTCCCTCTGAAACCTGCTGGGGGGACTCCTTCCTGGCCTCTTCCCACTTGTGGCCAGCAATCCTCGGAATCCTTTGGCTTGTGAATGCGCCACCCAGTCTCTGCCCCTGTGTTGTATGGGCATCTTCCCCTCGTCTCCTTAGTAAGGACACCAGTCATAATGGTTAAGAGCCCACCCTACTTCCAGTATGGCTTCATCTTAGCTAATTGCATCTGCAACTACAGTATCTCCAAATGAGGTCACACTCTGAGGTAGCGGGGGTTAGGACTTTCACATCTTTGTGGGGGACACAGTTCAACCCATAATAGAGAGTAGGGAGCAGTGTGGGGAGGGGAGGAGGCCTGAGATCACGTCTCCAGGCCAGGTGTCCAGCTTGCTAACGCCCTGCCTCCTCTCTGTCCCTGGCGCAGAACCCTGTGGGCGTGGGCTACTACCTCAACACCTGGCTCATGGAGACAAAGGACCATCGGCAGCGATATCGGTCCCTGTTCCTGGGCAAATCCAAGCGCTACCTCACGGACCCGGCCTGGGACAGGTTCATGCAGTGAGTGCCTCTGGAGCTCCGCAGAGCGGCCGGCGGGCGGGGACCCTCCTCCACCTGCTGCTCGCTTCCCATGGGAGCACAGCTGCTGTGCCCAGTGCCAGCCACACAGCTGTGGCAGTGGAGAGTTCAGATCCTCCTGGCTCTGCCACTTACTGGCTGTGTGAGGTGGGGCATGTCGCTTAACCTCTCTGAGCCTCATTTCCCTCAACTGTCAAACGAGCAGAGGACTGTGGAGCCCCAAATGAGACACCATCTGACGCTGTGGTAAAGCAAGGGAACTCGTCAGCCCTGAGTCCTCCACCCATGACCCAGGCATCCAGGCTCTGCCTGGCTAGGCTTCACTCCATGGAATCTCAGTTTCTTGGTGTTCATAACGGGGGTGGTAAAGCTGATTTCAGGGCGTTGTTGTGAAGCCAAAAGAAAAAGTGCATGAAAACCATGGCCATCTGGGGAACGGCTTGCAAACTGTAGCGGCCGCCGCATTTTATCGACCCGGCAGGCTGTCAGTTACAGTGTGTTAACAGTCTCAGAAACGCGAACGTGTGAGGCAGGTATGAGCATTGTCATTTCGTGGCTGGAAATCCCGGTGAGGACAGGAGGCCCAGATTCTGGGGATCAGATGGCTCAGGGAAAACCAGCTTTTAACTGTTTACTTTTTATCAAGATAGTCTTGTGTCTTCTCCATTTTCTCCCTTGTTTTGGTGACTTCCTTAGAAAAAGTAATGGGAGGTAATGTTTTTGATAGACTGTGTTGCTGAAAAACATTTTTTTCTTCTTACTTGAGCAACTGATCTATGGTTTGGTTGGAAATGAAGTTTTAGGTTGGAAATCATTTTCCCTCGGGATTCTGAAGGCTCTGCTTGGTTGCCTGTGAGTTCCAAGCGTGGCTGTTGAGAACTCTGGCGCCTTTCTGGTTTCCTGTCCTTTGTAGGCAGCGTGCACCTTCGTCTCTGGGCCCTTTTATGGTCTTCTCTTTGTCCCTTGTGTTCTGAGGTTTTATGACCAAGGGTTGTAGTGTGAGTGTATTTTCATTTACTGCTTTGGGTACTTGGTGGGTTCCTTCCTTCTGAAAACTCAGGGCCTCCTAGTCTGGGAAAAGTTTTGCGTTTTAGTCTTTGACGATGTCCCCTTCTCTGTTTTCTCTCTCTTCTTTTTCAGATGAATGGTTTGACGTTGTAATTTCTTATTCCCCCCCCTCCCATTTCTATTTCTACCTTTTCTGTCCTATTTTCTAGTAAACTCCACCTGCCCTTTCTCCCTCACTCTTGCCTTTTTACAAGTTAACTGGCATCTTTCCTCGTCTCCAAGATCTCTAGTGTGTTTCTCTTAGGGCCCCTCCGTGGGGTTCGCAGCGTGGCCTTTCACCTGAGGACCACGCGTTCTCCTTACATTTCCTTGGCTGCCTGCATTGTCTCCACTTCCTCCAAGATGTCTTCTTTCACTTGCTCTTTAAAAAAATACCAAAATCAATTCAAAATAAAGCAGGAGTAAAGAATGGACAAAAACGAATGGAGACTGGATGGAGGGAGGTGCTCTGATGGGATCCTCACAGCTCCTGGGTGTTGACGCGCTCGTGCTAGTCCCTGCCTTGGCTCCAGGTGGCGCTCACAGGCCGCTGTGCACAGCTGTGGATGAGACCGCGGAGAAAGGCCAGGGACTGGGGGCTGCTGTAGAAAGGGCAGGGGGACCCTCAGTGCTACCTTCCATCTTATACATGAGTGAGTGAGGCTCAGAGGGGTGGAGTGATGGGAATGCCCAGGGTCCCTCAGCCAAACAGACCGAGGGCAGGGACCAGGAACCGTGGCTCTGACTCCCACCCTGTGCTCCAGCCTCTCCTCCTTGGCCAGGTTTGGAGGAGGCCGTGGGCTGGCAGAACACAACACGTCTTTGAACAGTTGCTGTCTTCAGTCAGACAAGGGAGGGCATGTGTGGGAGAGTTGCGAAGTGTCCTTCTGGAATGTGTAGTTACAGCTAATCTTTCTCACCCCTCACTCGCAAGCCTCATTTGCTTCGTCTTGCCAAACCACAGGGTTTGGGGCTTCCAGCTAGGAGCCTGAGATTGCATCCTGCACGGGAAAGGCAGCCTTTGTTTTCATTCTTTACAGCTGTGTCTATAGTTGCGTATACATTTGGCTGACCTACCCAGTGGACCAGGTTTTCCATCCGGTCACCTTTCTGGCTCTTACGGCCAGGTCTTTTTATTCCATCTGGCCACCTCTGGCCATGTGGACATGGGCTCTCTGTGCTCCAGCCAGACCTTGCTTTGTACTACCTCTTGCTCTTCAGCCTTTGGCCACACTGAGATCGGTTCTTGGAACATCCTTCTCCTAGTTTCTGTCTGGAAAACTCCTATTCATCCTCCACAACTCTGTTTAAACACAAGGCTGCCCTGATTTTTCCAGATAGTGTCTCTTCATTCTCAGCCTCTTGTGAATTCCCTGGCTGGAACACTTCCGCCGTTACAGTGTAATCTGTGTGCATATGCGTGTGGTCCCTCCTAGACGGGACTTCTCTGTTCTCCAGCCTCACTGTCGAGCTGGCCCACACAGCAGGAGATCAACGAACATTCGTCAAGGGTGAGGCAGTGCGCTAACTGATGAATGGAGTCTGAGTAACGCCATGCAAGGAGCGTGTAGGAACTCCCATCTGACGGAGGAGTTCTTTTTTTGTTTTAATTTTTTTCACCTGAATCTTACTGTGAATTTTTTTCAAACATACAGCAAAATTGAAACGATTTTACAGTGTACTCCTGTATATCTATCACTTAGATGATATCATAAATGTTTTATTCTTCTTGCCTTATGATAGATACCATTCATCCATTAATCATTCATCCATTCTCATCCTTCTGCCTATCTATTAATCATCTTATAATCTGGTAAATTTCAAAGTGAATGGCAGACATCAATATACTTCCTCCTAAGTACTTCAGTATGCACACTACCTTTTAAGCATTTTAAACTAAAGCCATATTTCTTGTTCAGAAATCTGAGATTGAAATCATAATATCCATTTTTTTAAATAAAATAATAATAATAATAAGGAATATATTTATAATGGACAAAGTGATTTTGTATGTATTTACCGTACATAGTAACTTTAAAAGGTAGGTATTACTCTCAGTGTTTTTCAGTCAAGACCACTCAATTTGGAGAGGAAGTGTTTTCCTGAAGCCACTGCTAGTCAGTGGCATTCATGCATGCAATGTTCGAAAATTAGTTGAGCACTTACTATGTGCCAGGTTTATCCTGGTTACTGGCGCATTGCAAGAGAACCAGACAGCTGTTCTGCCCCAGGCTGGCTCCCCACTTCTTAGAGAAGGCAGTCACCCTTTTTCTGCAGTTACAGGGTAGCGTGAAAAGAAGGATGAGGGCAGATGGGACCCAGGACCTCTCTCCACGTTAAGAACACTTGTTCCCACAACTTTCTGAAGGATGTGAGCAGGAGGGAAGGCTCTTTGAACCCAGAAGGCTAAGGCTGAGACAGCCTTTACCAGGCTCACCTTCACGTTCTCATCTCACCTGCCCGCACCTGACCACGTTCCTGCCACCTCCTTTCACCTTTGTGCATGCTGCTGTGGGGAGATGGGGACGTTTGGTCAGAAAAGGGGGACTCTTGGGAGTTCAGCACGGATCCTGCATCCCGCAACCCCCCCAACTCTTATTATTGAACACAGAAGTCTGGTTATTGCCATGGAGACAGGACGATGCCAGGGAAAGACAGGGCCTTAACGCCAAGGGAAGGCCATATTTTTACCCTCCTTCCCTCCTCCCTCCCCTCCCTCCCTCCTTCCTTTTTTCTCTTTCTCTATCTTCCTTCCTTTATTTTTGGTGGGGTAGACACTTGAGCATGTTTCTGAGCTGACGGGCCAGGAAGAAGCAGGGGATTCAGGAGTGAGGTGGTGGAACCCGCTCCTTGCATGGGCTGGAGAGCTGGTCACCCGAACACAGAGAGAGGTTCAACTTGGATGGGGCCAGGGGGTGGGGGAGACAAAATAGTTGATGACTCAATTAAATTGAGCCAACATTTGCTAGTGCCAGGGGTCCTTGCTCAGAAGGTCACAGGCAAATGGGGATAAAAGCTTAGGACAGCCCTGGCCGGTTTGGCTCAGCGGTTAGAGCACTGACCTGCAGACCAGAGAGTCCTGACTTCGGTTCCCGCTAAAGGCACGTACCTCGGTTGCAGTTTATCCCCAGCCCCTGTTGAGGTCATGTGGGTGGCAGCCAATCTATGTGTCTCTCTCACATAGATGTTTCTCTCTCTCTCTTCCTTCCTCTCTCCCTCCTGCTCTATCTGAAGATAAATGCAAAAATGTCCTCGGGTGAGGATAAAATAAATAAATAAAACTTAGGACAGGGAAAGAGCATGAGTGAAGGAATGAGAACAAAAGCCACTAGAAGGTTCATTCCAGATGATGTGCGGAGTGTGTAAGGGGACTAGCAGAGAGTGAGGCAGGCAGGGTTCATGAGGTCAGTCTTTGGAGACCTTGAACGCAAAGCTAAACTGCTGGGCTTTCATGTATCCTGCCTGTGAGAAGCCGTGGAAGGATTTTTTTTTTTTTAGTCAGATTTGTAATTGTATAACTCTGTACAGTGAAATTCACCCTTTTTAGGGGTACAGTTCTATGAGTTTTGACAAATGTGTCATCAGCAAAACAAGCAAGATGTAGAATATCACCCCCCCTCCCAGTCTCCTCCCCCTCCACCAGGCCCTGGCAACTACTGATATGATTACCATCCCTATAGTTTTGCCTTTTCCAGAATGTCATATAAATGGAATCATGCCATCTGTAGAATCTTGCATCTTTTCTTTCATTTTACATAACACTTCTGAGATTCATCTATGTTGTGCATGTATCAGTAATTCCTTTTTTGTTGTTGTTAATCCTCACCCAAGGATGTTTTTCTATTTATTTTTAGAGAGAGTGGAAAGAAGGGAGGGAGAGAGAGAGACACATTGATGGGTTGCCGCCCACACCCTCTCTAGGGCCAGGGATGGAACCTGCAACCCAGGTATGTGCCCTTGGCCAGGAATTGAACATGCAACCCTTTGGTTCAAGGGCTGATGCTCTAACCACCGAGAAAAACTGGCCAGGGCAATTTGTTCCTTTTTAATGCTGAGTTATATTCCATTGAATGGATGTACCACAGGTTATTTAATCCATTTCCAAGGTGAAAGACATTTAAGTGGTTTCCAGTTTGGGCAGTTTTGGATCAAACTGCTATAAACAGTCATATATGAACCTTCGGACATATGTTTTTATTTCTCTTTGATAAATATCTAGAGTAGGATTTCTAGGTTGTTCAGTAAGTGCATGTATAACTTTATAAGAAACTGCCAACCTATTTTCTAAAATGGCCGTACTGTTTTGTATTCCCACCAGAAATGTATGTGGGATCTAACTGCTTTATATCCTTGTTAGCGTTTGGTATTTCAAGTTTTTTTCTTCTAATTTTAGCCATCTTAATAGGGTTTTTGTGTGTGTGTGTGGTTTGAATTTGCATGTCTCTGGTGACAGGCCTGATTTTAGACATTTTTTCATGTACTTTCTTTATATCTTTTCTTTTGCACATTAACAAAATAGGTTGCTGTCTTCTATTAAGTTTTGAGAGATTTTAAAATATATTCTAAGCATACATTTTTCACCAGATACATGTTTGGCAAACATTTTCTCCTAGATACTCAGAAGGGTTTTAATGGGATGCAAGTCTTGAGTTTTAAAGATGTGCTCCGTGGCATTGTGGGTGGGGGAGGTGGGTGGGGGGAGAGACAAGGAGACTCTCTAACGGTCAGGAGAGAGCTGAGGATCTGAGCCTGGCCAAGGGCAGTGGCATGGAGACCCACCAGATGGTAGCAAAGGCCCCTTTTTCCCTGTGAGCCTCCCTCCTGCCCACCTTCCTTTTTGTGACAGATGTTTGTGGAACACCTACTAAGCACCAAGTAATGGTCTAGGCATAGGGGATACATCAATAACAAAATCAAAGTCCTGCCTTCATGGAGTTTACATCTTGACGAGGAAGACAGATAATAAACACATACATGTGTGTAACATAATAGCTGGTAGGTACTGTTGGATACATGACGCAAGGAATTCTTATTGAAATGCCATTTTTCAAATGGCTTCAGGGATGGAAACCAGAGTCCTCCAAGGTTCCACTCTGAGAAAAGAATCAGAACAGTGGGAGGGACACTAGACTGAGGTCAGGGGCTCTGGGCTGGAATTCTGGCCTCGACTCTGGCCCTCAGTGTGACCTCAGGCAAGTTCCTTCCTTTCTGGGCTCTCAGCCCCCTCTCAAAGTTGGGCTAAATGATCTTTCAGGTGCTAGGATTTTGTATTTGAAGTTCTGACAAAGCAATTTGAGGGCTCTGAAGAGCCGAACTTGGTGCAAAGTAGAGGGATCTCTACTGTTTTGATGGAAAAGCTCTGGAGGTCATCAATGTTGGCCTCTCACCTAATGTAGGATCTCCTGGGAAGCACAACCAATAAGGTACTTGTTTGTCCCTATGGGCACCCTCCAGGGATGGGAGGCTCACCCCCTTCCAAGGGACCAGTTCCATTTTCTTTTTTCTCTCTCTGTCTTTTTAAAGGGAAAGGATCACACCTTTTACTAAGGGGAAGTGCCTTCCAACTGTGGATTACAATTCAGATCCTACTCCTTAAAGCCACATATGAAGGACAGCCTGCGGTGACCAGAGTGCCCAAAGGACTGAAAAATCTGGGGATGGGAGGGTGGAAGAGGGAATGGAGGGGTCTTGGAGAAAGGACACATGGGAATGCCTGGGAGAGGGGAGAGAGGTGATGATGCGGTGGGATCACTTTTACTGGAGACATTCACCTGGAGGTCACAATGTCTGCTGGGACATCTGGAGCCAGATATCTTTTGATACAAGAGATCAATTATCCTGAGAATTCAAATCGGCCAGTGACATGAACATGGGAGCCAGACAGCAGATGGACTGAAGGGGTAAAATACAGTGGACGCTTTTGGGGCTCCTTTTATTCTAAAGCCAAAGTCTTTGACTCCCTGTTCATTAAAAGCCAGAAAGAGTCAGGAGAATGGCATTCTGGAAGCTCAGCGGGGCCTCATGCTGTGAGGAGGCTGCTGACTGCAGGCAGCGTGCAGCCACTGAACAATGAGCTTCAGCCCCGCAGTCAGGGTTCAGGAGCACATGATCTAGCACAAAGGTGGGTCTGTGTGCATTGACCACAATGTCTTGAGCTGTTTTTGTCAGTGAAAGATTGAGTGGGATGGCAGGAGACTGTTGTCCCCAAAGAAAAGAAGACTGGGACACCACAGCCTCGGCCAAAAAATCCGCACAATGATTTTTTAAAAACCACAAAAAAAACTTTAAGTACTTCCTTCAGAGCCTGAGTGTGTTACAGAAAGCAGTTTCTTTCTCACTTAGGTCAAAATGATTGTTTTGGGAGGAAAAGTAACACTGCCTTTGCTCATAGAACATGTCATCTATCTAAAAATCATACCAAATCCTCAAAAAAGCTGATGAGACAAACTAGACACAGCTAGACTTAATAAGTCAGTTTAGCAAGGTTTCAGGAAATACGATCAATATACGAAAACCAACTATATCTATATACTAGCAATAAACAATCAAAACTTGAAAATGCCATTTATAGTAGCATCCAAACTATGAAATACTTAGGTCTAAATTTGACAAAAGTACAAGATCTGTACACTGAAAACTATGAAATACTGTTGAGAGAAATTAAAGACCTAACTAAGGGAGAGCTATACCATGTTCATGGATCAAAGACTCAATGTTGTTAAGACGGATTCGAAGCAATACCAATCAAAATCCCAATAATTTTTTTTTTTTTTTTAAGTTGGCAAGCTGATCCTAAAACTTACAGGGAAATACAAAAGACATAAAATAGCCAAAACAAATTTGAAAAACAGAAACAAAACTGTAGAACTAACATTACCTTATTCTACAGTGTAGAATTGGTGTAAAGATAGACAGATTAAAGGAATAGAATATGGAGAACCCAGAAATACACACACCATATATGGACAACTAATTTTTAACAAAGATACAATGACAATCCAGTAGAAAAGAGTAGTATTTTCAACAACAACAGCAACCAAAGAACTATGATCAGACTTGTATCATATATAAAAATTAACTCAAAATGGATCATAGGTATAAATGTAAAATCCAACTATAAAAATTCTGGAAGAAAACAAAAAAATATTTGAACTTTGTGTTAGGCAAATATTTCTTGGATACCAATTTAACTACTTATTTAAATGTTTTTTTTTATCCTCACCTGAGGATATTTTTCCATTTTTTGTACAGATAGAGTGGGAGGGAGAGAGAGGAAGGGAGAGAGAGAGAGAAACATCAACGTGAAGGGACACATCGAGTGGCTGCCACCTGCACGACCAACCAGGGCCGGGGACAAACTACAACCGAAGTACGTGCCCCCAGCGGGAACCGAACCCGGGTCTCTCCGGACCGCAGGCCGATGCTTTAACCGCTGAGCCAAACTGGCCAAGGCCTTATTTAAATGTTTAACTATTTAACAATTTGTTAAACTGAATTTAATTAAAATAAAACACTTTTGGCCCAGCTAATGTAGCTCAGTGGATTGAGCATTGTCCCATGGACTGAGAGGTTCCAGTTCAATTCCCAGTCAGGGTACATGCCTAGGTTGCAGGCTTGATCACCAGTGGGGGGCATGCAGGAGGCAGCCGACAGATATTTCTCTCTCATATCAATGTTTCTATCTCTCCCTTCCTTTCTCTCTAAAAAATCAATAAGAACATATTTTAAACAATAATAAAATAAGTGTCATTTAGCCCTGGCTGGTTTGCTCAGTGGTTAGAACATTGGCCCAAGGACCAAAGGGTTGCAGGTTCGATTCCCTGTCCAGGGCATGTACCCAGGTTCAATCTCTGGCTCCGGTTGGGGTCGTGTGGGAGGCAACCAATGGATATGTCTCTCACATCAATGTTTCTCTTTCTTTCCCTCCCTCCCACTCTATCTAAAAATCAATGGAAAGACATCTTTGGGTGAGGATTAACAACAACAAAATGTGTGTTTTATTATATGCTAATTATACCTTGATAAATTATTCCATTTGGGGAGAAATAAGAACTAAATGCAATGTAGGATCCTAGAAAGGATTCTGGAAGGAAAAGGAACATTAATGTTAAAATTGGTGAAATTCAAATAAAGGCTATGGTTTAGTTACTAATATAATGTCAATGGCAATGTCTTGGTTTTGATAATTCTGCTATGGTTTTATAGAAGATGTAAAACATTAGAGGAAGTTGGGTGAGGGGGATAGGGAAATTTGTACTATCATTGCAACTTTTCTGTAAGTCTAAAATTAATTCAAAATAAAGTTTTAAAATATATGCAATAAAAATTTTTTAAAAGATTGCTTTACCTTATAGAAAAAGTGCATTAAAAAAAAATATATTAGCTATCGTATTACTGACAGTTACCATAAAGTCAGCAAGTTTGGGTGGTTCGCTTTTTGTAAGAGAAACCTGTGTAACAACTTTACATTTAGACAGTTCTTTTGAGTCCTTTGCCATGAGATACCAACGGACTTCTGTTACAAAAGTCATGTATACCGAGAAGGGACAGCCACCTATGATAATGGAGCGCCGGCTGCCATGGAGGCTTCATTTCACTGTTTCTGGGTCTGGGCCCCGGCTAAGACTCTGCGCGCTTTGGGGTGTAAGACTAGATGAGCCTGCGCCCTTGTTTAACTCATCAACAGCTTCAACGTGGCCTGCAGGCAAACCACCTGACCTTTCTTGAGCTTCATTTTCCTCATTTGTAAAATGGACCTGCTTTTTTTTTTTTTACAGGAGTGTAAGGATGAAATAGGACACAGTATGTTGCAATTCAGATGTAAGGTGGGATTGAAGGCTTAAACTACAAAAGCTGTTTTAAGGAACATTCTAGATTTCTCCCCCGCTTTATTTTTAAATCATCACCCGAAGATATTTTTTCCACTGATTTTCAGAGAAAGTGAAAGAGAGGGAGGGTAGAGGGAGAGATAGGAAAGAGAGAGAGGTGAGAGGGATACATCAATTAGTTAACTCATGCATGAGTCCTGACTGGGGCTGGGTGTCAAATGTGCAATCCAAGTACTTGCCCTTGACAGGGAATTGAACCCACGACCCTTTGTGGCTGATGCTCTAAGCACTGAACCACACTGGCCAGGGCTGATTTTTCCCCTTTATGGAGAATTTACAAAATTGAGATTTGTGAAACTGGAAAAGGAATTTCCTAAAGGGTTCCTCTGTAACTTTAGGAAGAGACACTCACATCACACATATTTTAGGAAAACATACATCATGTATATATTTGCATTTGCACAAAACTCAACTCTTTCATCCCAGTTCATTTAAGCCTGTCAACCCTCGAACGATTGGGGTGAGCTAAATTGCTCTACCAAATAGTCCCAAATATTTAGTGACTCAACTACAGTAAAAATTGTATTTCTTGCTCCCAAAACAAACCAGGCCAGACTTCAGGTTGATGGGCAGTTCTCCAGCAACTCGGGGATCCAGGCTCCCTCCAACTTGTGACTCTGCCATGGCCCATGGCCTGGCTGTCATCTGCATCCAGCTAATAGAGGGGTAAGAGTCAGGGGAATCTCACATAGGTTTTTCCCACATTTGTTCCCGTTCTTCTAGAGAACTGTAACTCAAGGACACGTGACTACAAGGGAGGCTGGGAAATGTAGTCTAGCATTGTGTCCAAAAAAGGGAAGAATGGATTTTAGTGCATAGCTAGTGGTCTTCACCAGTTTGTAGGTGAAGAAATAGTCTTAACAGGGTTAGCTTGCCAAAATTTGTTAGATCACCTGGTGACAAAGCCAGGACTGTGGCGCAGAGCTCCTTACAAAGCACTGCCCCGCCACCCCCAAAGGCACCAGAGATATACGGGGAAGAATCGAGTTGTTTGGCCTTGATGCAACGGCTGGAGAGGCAGCTTTCTCCTGGACAGACGTGCTGGCGGAGCCATTGTTCCTTTGGTGAACTCTTCCCCCATGGGGTCGGCACCCGGTGCCATATCTGGGACTCCAGCAACCTGGCTCAGTTTGCCCCACCCTGGTGATTCCCTGAAGCCCTGCTCCCCTCCCCCCCAACTTTCAGGCCCACCCAGGCTGTTCCCAGTGGCTTTACCATAGGATTTGCCTGTCTTGGCTCCTGCTTCAGATTTTCCTAAATGCTCTAAAAAAAGCAGCATCTGGCCTCAGAGAGCCCATACCTCTCGCTAAGTGGCCCCAGGCTTGGCACTAGGAGCAGCCATTGGCGGATCCACTTTGTAGCTTATGCCTGGTGGCCCTGGGTACAACACAGGCAGTGACTGACCTTGCCCCAGAGCCAGGACACCCAGTGGACAGCTTCAGAGCACATTGAAACACCACCACCCAACCACCTCCACAAGTGACACACTCAAGGAATGAACTCAGTGGGCACCAGAGCCCTGCTGAAGTAAGTCTTGCTCTGTGTGGTGGGCCCCTGCACAGCAGATCATCCAAGGTAGTCAGAGGTCAGTGGATAGTGGGTACAAGCCAGACCTTGCAGCTGATCAGCCTGAGTAAAACCCTCCAACTGATTTGCGAACAGAAATCAAGACTCAATTACAACAGAAGGGTGTAAAGTCCACAAAGGGGGGTGTAGTTTGATGGCCCAGCTGGGTGACCAGGGAGGCTGCGCCACTGAACCCTACAGGACACCTACTACAATAGGCCACCCTAGAAAGCCCAGGAGACATAGAAACTCTACCTAATACATACAAACACAGGGAGGCCGCCAAAATGAGGAGACAAAGAAACATACCCCAAATGAAAGAACAGAACAAAATTCCAGGAAAAGAATTAAACGAAATGGAGATAAGCAATCTAACAGATGCAGAGTTCAAAACACTGCTTATAAGGATGCTCAATGAACTTAGTGAGGGCCTCAAGAGCATTAAAAAGGACCAGTCAGAAATGAAGGATGCACAGTCAGAAATGAAGGAGGCACTAACTAAAATAAAGAATAATTTACACAGATTCAATAGTAGAGTAGGTAAAACCAAGAAGCAAACCATCAATTTGGAATATAAGAAAGCAAAAAACACCCAATCAAAACAGCAAAAAGGAAAAAAGAATTAAATAAAGGATAGGGTAAGGAGCCTCTGGGACAACTTCAAGAGTACCAACATTTGCATCACAGGGGTGCCAGAAGGAAAAGAGAGAGAGCAAGAAATTGAAAACCTATTTGAAACAATAATGACAGAAAACTTCCTAACTTGGTGAAGGAAACAGACATACACATCCAGGAAGCACAGAGAGTCCCAGACAAGATGAACCCCAAGAGGCCCACACCAAGACACATCATCATCAAAATGCAAAAGGTTCAAGACAAAGAGAGAATCTTTTCTTTTCTTTCTTTTTTTTTTATCCTCACCCGAGGACATTTTTCCATTTTTTGTACAGATAGAGTGGGAGGGAGAGAGAGGAAGAGAGAGAGAGGGAAACATCGATGTGAAAGGGACACATCGAGTGGCTGCCACCCGCACGACCAACCAGGGCTGGGGGCAAACTGCAACCGAGGTACGTGCCCTTAGCGGGAACCGAACCCGGGTCTCTCCGGACCACAGGCGGACGCTCTAACCGCTGAGCCAAACCGGCCAGGGCCAAAGAGAGAATCTTAAAAGCAGCAAGAGAAAAGCAGTTAGTTACCTACAAGGGAGCTCCCATAAGACTATCCGCTGACTTCTCAAAAGAAACTTTGCAGGCCAGAAGGGAATGGCAAGAAATATTCAGAGTGATGAAAAGAAAGAACCTACAACCAAGATTACTCTATCCTGCAAAGCTATCATTTAGAATCGATGGACGTATAAAGAGTTTCCCAGGCAGGAAACAGCTAAAGGAGTTCATCTCCACCAAACCAATATTATATGAAGAAAAAGATAAAAAATATGAACAATAAAATGGCAATAAATACATATCTATTGACAACTGAATCTACAAACAAAATGAACAAGCAGAACAATATGTTCTCATATACAGAGAACATTTTGTTATTTGCCAGATGGGAGGGGGTTGAAGGAATGGGTGAAAAAAGGTGAAGGAATTAAGAAGTACAAATTGGTTTAGACAGACAAACCTCAAAAAGAAGGTGGGAGGTGGGGTGGGAAGAGATAAACCAAAGGACTTATATGCATATATGCACAACCAATGGACACAGACGGTAGTGTGGGGAAAGGCAGGAGGGGGTGGGAGTGGGGAGGATGGGGTCAATGGGGGAAAAATGAGGTACATCTGTAATACATTGAACAATAAAGATAAGTTTTAAAAAAAACCACTGCCCTCCCCAGGTGACCCTGATCTGAGCCACACTGGACGCTCCTCTGTCCTCCCGCTCCCACCCTTGCCCTGCAGTCTGTTCTCCACCTTGCAGATGGGAGAACCCAGGAAGGCCATTCACATTGTGGCAGTGATAGAAATTCAGAAATGGAACAGAAAACCACCCATGAGCCCACTGCCCTGAAGAAGCTGTCCCTCCCCCACGGTGTCTTCCAGTCCTCGTTCACGCGTGCGCGGGTTCAGAGGGAAACCGACCTTGAGAGCTGCGGAGCCTGCACTTGAGCCAGGTCTGACCCCCACAGTGTGGTCCCTAGAGCAAGAAACAACAAAAGCTACTTTCCAGGTTACACTTTTATTTTTACAGAAGCGGGGGCCACACAGCCACGGGGACACAAAATATTCTGGACAGCAGGCACGACGCCTGTGGTTGACAGCCTGCCAGGGGAGACTCATGCCTTTCTGCTGGGGCCCTGTGACCAAGGGGGGAAAAACACACATCCCATCCCCACCCCTCCTTTCCCTTTTAGTAACACCCAACTAAACTATGCATCCTTCCAGCCAAAGAAACGGGCTATAATGGATTTTACAGAAAACTTTCATGCAGCCACGCAACTTGCGGCTCTGGAGGGAGAGGCCTATTCTGTTACTTTCCACATTGCCCCAGATGCGAAGTTAACTCCACTGGAAACCACACCCGGCTGGACAGTGAAGGGACTGGCTACAAGAAAAAGCTGGCTGCTCACCATGCTGGAAGACTGCCCTTTCCAGGCAAGACGTTACTGGAGAAAAACATTAACCTGAGGCTGGTGCAATCCCAAGACCTTCCTTGCCAAGCCCCAGGTTCCAGGTGAGGTCTGCGGGGACAGGATTTTGGTTCATAGGACTAAGGACAACAGAGGCTGCTGGCATCTCTGGCCACACTCCCAGTGGCTTAGGGATAGAGGCCACAGGGGTGACAGGATGGAGCCTATCTGTTGGGTTATCTGCCCGGGTTAGCCATTCCTCTACAGCAAGTAGGATCATTGGTTTAACCCAGAGCGGAAGCACGTGGGCCCACCATGAGAGCTAATGCCAGAATTCATGTGCTTTGCATACACACTAGAGAATGAGTTTCTGATAGTTTTCCTACGGCCCCTCCAGGGGCCCAAGGGTAAGGAGGTCCCTTTGCCTTGAGTGCCATGAATGCACCCGCACTCACAGGACCATGCTAAGATACTCTGCAGCATGCTGAGGCCTGGGTGGGGTGGGTGAGCAACTGTCAGTCAAACCGAGACTCTGTGAGGACTCTGGCAACCTGCAGTGACAAGACGGACACTTCCTGCAAGCCTTTCAGAACATGAGATGAAGGAAGGACCTTAAGTGACTGACCACCCCCAAGTGTCCACTTGATCGTTTGTTTTTCCTGACTTTCCATGGGGTTTGCAACCACAGGGTGTAAGACAGCCACGCACTTCTATAACAGAATGGCCCCCAGGGAAGTCTTGTCTGCACTGATGTGGTGGATGAGGATAAACTGTAGTTCAGAGGAACAAATGACTTGCCCACAGCTGACTCCTGGTAGTGCACACCCTCTCTCAGAATGTCACTGCCTGGCTTCCCTTACAGGACGCAATTCCTTCCCAGACTCTGGGTCTTTAGTTCTTAAGATGGAGCTGCATAAAAAACCAAGCTTTAGTAAGTGGGGAAGGATGGTCCCTTCCCTCTGCAACAGAAATGGAGCTAACTTTTCTCTGAGCTTAAACTTTGTAAGGCACTAAAATTAACTACAGCTGGGGTGTGGGAGAAAGAAAAAAAGATGAGTGGTTGGGGAAATCAAACGAATGTTCTATTCTTTCAGCCCCACGGTGGGAATCCTCATGGAACCTAACAATGGCAGGCTCCACTTTCCTGCTGGTGTGGCCCACCCCACCCCCGACACCGCAGAGCAGCGTGGACACACCCTAACAACTAAGGGGGTTTTGGGGTCAAGACGCATAAGGGTTGGAAAGCAAATGAGCCCAGACCTCTAGGTCCAACTCAGAGCAGAAACCACTCATTCCACCTAGGCAGGTCCCAGGCTGAGGACAGGAGTCAGCCCTAAAATGTCTTCCCAGGGACATGGTCCTCTAGGAGTAGACTTGGTGATAGCTGGGGGCGGGGAGGAAGCCTGAGTGCGAAGGAGGGAGGGGCAGGACATCACCAAGGATGGCAGAGAGAACTTTGGGATTGGACCTGGCTTTGGCACAGCACCTCTCGGGCCTGCCCACCCATCTGTTGTCCCCCTGAGACTCCAGGGATGGAGAGGAACCTTCCCTGTCCCCCTGAGGAGCAATTCTGGCTGACTGAACAACAGCAGTACATGCCAGCCAAGTCTGGGCACAGGTGACCTAACACAGAGCCTTCTGGACTCAACCACCAAACCCAAAGCACTTGGATGTGACACAGAGCGGGAAGCAAGAACAGCCAGCACAGCCTGTAGGCAGACACTGCTGCCCTGCGGCAGATGAAGAGCCAGGCTCCGAGGGGCTGAGTGGTTCACCCAGAGCCAGTGGCTGCACTGGGAACCAGACGCAGGTTCACCTGACTCCAAATCCCATGTCCTTCCCGCTCCACTCGGGAGGCCCGTGGAAGCTGAGAGCAGTCCGTCGGGGTTGTCTGCGTGGGACTTCTGGAGGGGCTTGTTTTTGAAAGTGTGGGTCTGGGAGAGCAGCCAGGCTTAGAGTGAAGGGAATATGACTCCTGGCCCTGAGGACAGGGCCCACCACACGTCTGTCTCTGTGGCCGGCCTCTGGCTCAGTGCCGGGCGGCCTTGCAGATCTTGTCATACACCTCGGGGAAGGCATCCTGGCAACTGAGCTGCTCCCGCAGCTTGTGGTACAGGGAGCCATCAAACATCTCCCAGAACTCCTCGCGGTTCATATAGCAGTCAGCATACAGCATCTGGAACCTGCAGAGCAGAGATGGGGGTGAGGATGGGAGGCGATGTCAGTGGGACGGAGGGGAAGGGGATGAGAGAGAACTCCAACCCTACCACCCTCACGTGTAGTATGCTTTGCAGACAGGAAGTGATTCTGGAGGATTTCTCGTTTATCCCCTAATGACCTAGGAGTGGAAGGTGGCAAGGGAACTCTTATCCCCATTTTGCAGATGGGCAGTCGAGGCTCAGGGTATTAAGTGGCTTGGCAGTGGAGGAAGAGGCCGGAGTAGAACTCAGACTGCTGGCTTCTCCCTGGGCTCAGTGCCTCACACACTGCCTCCCTGATGGGGCTGCTGACTACTCTCTTTTCATTTCTTCACTGATGTTCCATAAACTGCGCACATTGAAAGTGTGCAGCTTACTAATTTGACATATGTTTACAAACTAGAAACCATCAGCTCAATAGAGAGAATGACCACAGTGAACACCCTCACAAGGGGTCATCGCCCTCCGCCATCCTAGGCGATCAGCTTTCTGTTGTGGATTCTGGAATTTGATATAAATGGAAACATCAGTACTCCATTTTCCTGCCTTCTTTCAACCAGCATGTTATTCTGAGACCTGCCCGTGCCGTGCAGGTCACCAGTTTCTCCAGGCTGTTTTCTGAGCACTGCTCTGATCCAGGCCTCTGTGTACTTTCACAGTCATGAATCCTCCCCCCTTAGCTCTGGTCTTCCAACCTGGAGCTGCAGCCCCTGAACATCCGGAAAACCACCCCATCATCTGCCCTGGGGCCAGGGGCGGGCAATTCCTGGTTTTCTAGCTCAAGCAGCTGGGGCGATGCAGGTGTGCTCACGGGAGGAGGGGGTGCAGAGGAGAGGAACCGGAGCCTGGCACTCACACCTCCTTACCTTTCATCAGGCACTTCCAAGTACAGGCTGCCACAGTAAGAGAGTCCTGAAGTGACCAGCTGGTCCTGCTCCAGAGCTGGCCCCCGTGGCCCTGCCCTGCACCCCTGCAGCAGTCCCCCGGGGCTGGCGGCCGACAGGGCTGTGCCACGTGCTGAGCCACTCACCCATGCACACTTCGGACGAACTTCTCCAGCTGCCTCATGCAGGACCTGGCTTCAAAGTGCTTCACGCGCGGCTCCCCGTAAGCTCCAATGTCCACATAGAGCTCGGTCTCGTCTCCCTTGGGGTGCACCAGGCCAGGCTGGCTGGGCAGGATGAATGGGCACAGCCAGATGGGGTAGACCTAGGTAGACCAGGGAGGAGGGTGTTGGTGCTTTCTCTCCAACAGGTGACAGGCTCATAGCTGGCCCACACCACCCTTACCCAAAGGGAGGCTTTGCAACACTCTCCAGGGGCCCCTTCTCTGGCTGCTCAGTTTCACTTCCATAGCCCAGCCCCGGCTGAGAGCACCCAGCCCCACCCAGCTCCACCACACTGGACGGCACACTCTGAGCAGTTCACGAAAGTGCTCAGCACTGGGCCCTATGACTTCTCCCCCATCACGGCCATGGCTGAGCAGGTCCAGTTTGTAGCTGGGGAAACTGAGGCCCAGAGGGTCGTCGGAATGCCCAAAGTCAGCGGCACAGTTCTCCATGGGTGGCCCTGGCCCCGGCTCACGTGGATGTCGTTGTGGAAGGTGTGCAGGGCCTGCATCAGGCACTTCATGGGCACCAGCATGTCCTGCACCACGTGGTGCTGCTCGTACAGCTTGCGCAGGGTCTCGCCCTGTGTCAGCTTCAGGAGGGAGATCTTGGGGGGCACCATCCAGCCAAAGAGGTAGCGGAAGATGGGGTTGTTGCCAAAGGGGATGATGTCCTGAAAGACAGAGTTTGAAGATGGAGAGAAGGAACCAACAAGGACTGAGTGTCTGTGTGCCAGGGGCCAGGTCCTCATTTAGTGTTCGACATGTATGACAGGGTCCACCCCTCCTATTTGGAGTGGCAGAGCGGTACCCAGGGTTCACCCAGCTGGAGTAAGGTTTGATTCTCAGCTCTGGCATTTGCCAGCTATGATGAGCGTGGGCTAGTTACGTGACTTCTCTGAACTCAATTTCTTCATCTGTAAATCGGGACTTCTGAGAACAGTGACAGACTGAAGGCTAGGCTCTCAGCACAGTGCCTGGAGCAAAATAAGGTGGTTATTTTGCTGTTCTAGTTGTAGGGGTCAGAGTGGCTGGCACAGAGCAGACATCCACAGTGTTTGAATGAGAAGAGGGATACTCAGAGAGCTTAAGCAACCCACCCCCCCTTTTAATTTATTGATGTTAGAGACAGAGAGGAAGACAGAGAGAGAAACATCAATTTGTTGTTCCACTTATTTATGCATTCATTGGTTGCTTCTTGTATGTACCCTGACCAGGGATTGACCCATAACTTTGGTATATAGGGATGATACTCTAACCAACTGAGCTATCTGGCCAGGGCCTTCAGCCATTTTTCTAAGGTCACGCATCCAGGGACAGCTCTCTGGAGTGGGCAAGGTCTGGCTCAGGTTCCGTAATGAGTCCACTGGTTTACAGCATCTCCTAAGAGGCTCCTAGGACAAATATGGCCCATCCTCTGGTTTTTTAAATAAAGTTTTATTGGAACATATCCATGCCCGTTTATTTACATACTGTCTTATGGCTGCTCTCAGGTTGTAAGGGTAGAGTTGTTCTTAGAGAGACCTCATGGTCCATAAGGCCTAAACCTAGCCCTTTACAGAGAAAGTCTGCTGACCTCTGCCCTATTGTATGAATGTGGCTTAATTTATTTAATCAGTTCTGCACTGATGGGCATTTAGATCATTTCCTGACGATTCCAATGAACGTCCTTTATGCATGTGTCTTTGCCCACTTACACACGTTTATCTGTAAGATAAATTCCTAGAAGTGGAAAATCTGCTTCAGACAGTGTATGCAATTTTAATGGGTGCTATTTTAAGAGCGCGGACATCGGAGGAGACCGCGGTTCCCGTACCCTGGCCAGCACGCGTGTTATCGGGCTTCCGTGTCTCTCATTCAGGCAGGCAGAAAATGAGACTTCTGTAGCCTGGTTTCGCCTGCCTTTATTCCGACTGAGACTGCAACACCCTTCTCATGTTCAAAAGCCATTTAGTTTCCCCCTAAAAACAGTCCAGCATTAGCCGACAGTTACCAGCCGGGACTACTCCTTTTCCAAAGTTCAAGTTTAAACACCATGCCCTGCCCTCCTCCTTTCCTGCCTCTGTCCACCCCATTAGCTGTCCTACTTGAAGTGACTTCAGGTCCCATGTCCCTGGCTTCACTGCACTAAGGTCAGTTATTTCAGGGGACCTCGTCGCAGCCTCTTCCCTCCTTGGCCTCATCTCTCCAGCTGCCCTTGGCGTTGGCCTGGGTCACGCCCGCTCCTGGCCTCTGCTCTGCTGGGCCCAGGGTCCCGAGCCCCAGAGGCAGGCCCTGTGACAGTGGCACTCTAAGAAACACGAACAACCAAGGACCTATGACCCTTCCTTACTTTCTGCGCTAGCCAGTCACTCACCCCGCCGGAAGGAGGACGTCAAAGGGAAGGGAGGGCAGGGCTGGCCGAGTCCCGTCTCTTTTCAGTCCTTCCTTACTCACCAGCTGCCAAGGTGGGGTGTTGGTGGAACATGAATGTTATCAAGAAGAGAAATAAAATTTGAATGTTTAAGTTTTCGTTTCTTAAAATAACATCAAATAGCAAATATTTATAAGAGACAGACTACGGAAGAAAGGAAAAAAACTGTAACTAAATATCTTCGAGGGCACCTTTTTCCTGCTTTTTAGACTGGGCTCTGAAAAGGTGCAGCTAGCTAGCCCTGACCCCAAATACTGCTGACTGACCGAGCTGGGTGAGCGGCAGGGATCGGACCAGCCAGGCCGCTCGGGTGTGACGGGAATGCAGTGATGCCCGGGAATGCTGGGCATGCCCACGCTGACTGGGGCACCCTCACCTCTGCTCTGGAGCCCTGGCATGGAGCCAGCGCCCACTCGCTGTCTTACTTAGATGTCTGAAAGGATCTCAGACTGACGTGCCCCACACCAATCTTCCGATCTCCCTTCCCAGATCTTCCCCCCACGCTGCCCACGGCAGTCAGGGGCACCTCCCGGCTCCCACTTGCTTGGGCCCTAACCTTGAAATCACAGCCACAGCCAATCTGTCTGGAAGGTGGGTTGGTCCCACCTTCACAGACTCTCCTAATCTGACGTTTCCCCTCCTCCACTGCCACCCCCCGGGACAGCAGAAATCTTTCTTCTACTCTGTCACCCCCATCTATTCTCCATGTAGCTGTCAACATTATTCTTTTAAAACAACAATCAGGTCGTATCACTTTTCTGTGCAAAGCCCTCCACCAGTTTCCTTGGCTTACGAGGACACACATGATCTAGACTCTGGCTGCTGAGTGACCTTGTTTTCCACCTCGGTTCTAGCTCGGGGGCTTTCTTGCTGTTTTTTAAAAACATGGAACCCGCTGTGACAACTGGATAACTATATACCTTCCACCATGTAGAAAACTTAAATCAACAACATAAATCTAAGAGCTGAAACCATAAGCTCTTAGAAGAAAACACAGGAATAAATCTTCATGACCTTGGATTTAGCAATGGATTCTTAGATATGACACTAAGCACATATAACAAAAAATAGATAAACTGGACTTCATCAAAAGTAAAAACTTTTGTGCATCAAAAGATATTATCAAGAAAGTGAAAAGTCAACCTATAGAATGGGAGAAAATATTTATAAGACATATATCTGATACAGTAAGTGTCTAGTATTCAGCACTCTTACAACTCAACAACAAATTTAAAATGGGCAAAGGGAACTGAACAGACACTTCAAAAAATATGCAAATGGCCAACAAGAATGTGAGATATCACTAGTTATTAGGAAAATGCAAATCAAAATCACAATAAGATTCCACTTCATACCCACTAGGATGGCTATAATCGACACCCACAAGATTACAAGTGTTGGTGAGAATGTAGAGAAAGTGAACTCTGCTGCTGGCAGTGTGAAATGGCTCAGCCGCCGTGGAAAAGTCTGACAGTTCCTCAGTAAGTTAGATACAAAGTTACCACATGACTCAGCAATTCCACCCATAGGCATATACCCCAAAGCACTGAAAACTAGTACTCAGCCCTGGCTGGTTTGGCTCAGCAGTTAGAGAGCATCGGCCCGTGGACCAAAGAGTCACGGGTTTGATTCCGGTCAAGGGCATGTACCTTGGTTGTTGTGGTTCATCCCTGGCCCTGGTTGGGCCCATGCGGGAGGCAACTAGTGGATGTGTCCCTCTCACATGGATGTTTCTCTCTCTCTCCCTCCCTCCTTCTCTCTATCCTTGGGTGAGGATTAAAAAAAAAAAAGTACTCAAACAAATACTTGTATATTATTTACAATACCAACAGGTGGAAACAATCCAAATGTCCTACGATAGATAATGGATAAACGATAGATAATGGATAAACCAATTGTGGTCTATCCATACACGGAGTAGAGTAGATTATTTAGCAATAAAAAGAAATGAGTACTGATACATGCTACAACATAAATGAACCTTGAAAACATCATGCTAAGTGAAAAAAGCCAGTCACAAAAGGCTATATTTTGTATGATTCCATTTATATGAAACAATCTAAAACAGGTAAACCCAGAGGGACAGAACAGACTGACGGTGGGAGAAGCCAGGAAAAGGAAGAAAGGGAAGTGACTGGTTAATGGGTACAGGATTTCTTTTTGGGGTGATAGAATGTTTTGGAACTAGACAGAGGTGATGGTTTCATAAGGTCATGAATGTACTAAATGCCACTAAATCGTAACTTTAAAATGGTTACTTTTATGTTATATGACTTCACTTCAACTAAAAGAAAACACGACCCGCACAGCCTGTTTGAGGAGCACAGCCTGTTTGAGGAGCTATGCTCCGACTCTCTTTGCCTGGAGCACTCTCTCCCAGAGCTCTGCATGGCTTGTCCTCCCTACGTTCAGGTCCCTGCTCATAAGTCATCTCCTGAGAGGCCTTCCCTGATGCACTTATTTAAAATGTCGCTGCTCCCCATCCCTCCGTGCACAACAACAAATTCTTGCTCACCTGTCAAGGCCAAGCTTGACGGCTACCTCCAACCCTAGCCAGGACTAGACCAGGCACTTCCTCTTCCTGTTCTTTTGGCCCTTATGGTCTGTCTGCCGGACTAGGCTACAGATCCTCAACGACAGAACAGGTCAGTGTTCCCCAAAGTACCCCCCCGAGGGCCCCATTCCCAGGTGCTCGGGGAAAGCCTGCTGCTTTAAGTGAAGACTGCCCAGTCCTTCAGAAAGAAGCGACTGAGTTGCTGTGTAAGAGGGTGTTCCAATTCCCCAGGACAAAGCCACGCTTTTCCCCTAAGGGAGAGAGTGTGGCCACATTGTTAACTATCCTGGTTCCCTGCCCAGCTGGCCAGGAGGACCAGGCCGACTGGGAAATCCGAGCCTCACCTGGAGCTCCCAGAAGATGCTGCGCGTGTGCCGGTGGTAGTACTGCCTCAAGGGGATGTATTCCAGGCCCTCTTGGTTTGTCTTCAGGTAGTTCTCCACGTGCTTGAAGAACCACGGCTTGTAGTAGTTGCCAATGCTATTCAGCTGAAATGACAGAGGGCACCGTGTCAGCCCACAGACAAGCACCAGTGCCATCAGGGCGTAACAGTGATACCCGGCTACTGTTCAGCTCTCCTGGCCTTTTCAAAGCTCTTTCGTGTCTGTTACCGCCTTTGAGACTCTTGAAGCCTGGCAAGGTTAAGCACAGCGGCTCTTCTCTAGCAGAGCGAGCAGAAGAGGTTAAGTGGTGTGCCCAGGGCCCCACAGCTAGTTCCTGACAGTCTAGAGGGCTTAGCGACCCGACCTAGTCTGCTGCTCCTTCTCAACGAGAAAATCAAAGTGCAGACGTTTACCAGCATCTATCACAACGCAATGCTCCATGCAGGTGCATTCCTCCCCCGTTCCCTTCCACTAGGCCGGGGTGGCACAGCCCCGAGCGCAGGTCATCTCCTCACGGGGTCCCAAGGCCAACAGTGCTAATTAACCACAGCACTTTCCCCGCCACGCGAGACCAAGCCCACGACCCTGAGCAGCGCTCGCCGCAGGCAGCCCCCATCAGTGGAGGAAGCTCACAGAGTGAACCTACGTGCTTCAGTCCTAAATGGTTCAAGACTTCAACTTCTGTGTGTTTTAGGACTTAGCTTCTCTGGACCCCAGCTTCCTCATCTGTGAGAGGAATTCTGGGCTGGTGCTTTTGGAGAGAGGCAGGGCCATACCCCGACGGAGCACAGGGTCCACCTTGGGCAGGCCACTCTCTCAGCCAGTTTCTTCACATGTAAAATTGTATGAAACACATATGCCCTGTGGAAGAGTTTTTGGTGCCTATTGGAAATCACACACACACACTGCAGATGCTTAGGCCCCAGGTAGACCAGCTTCTCTGGGGGGCAGGTAAGATCACACCTAGGTGGGTGGGCTCAGCAAGGACTCAGGAAGCAGATCGATTAGGAGAGGAAGAATGTTGCCAGGGGACCACCAGGGAGGGGAAGGCAGGCGCAGAGGCAAGAAGTGAGCCAGCCCCAGAGTAGCTGGTGGAGAAGAGTCACAATGCGCGCTGAGTGCCGTGATCTCGGCACCTAGCGGGTTCGTTCCTTGTCGCCCTCCACGGCCTTGCATGGCAGGGCTGCTTTCACGGTCGGGACTGGGAATCATCAAGGCTGAACAGGCTGCCCAAGGCTACAAAGCTGGCAAGAAGCAGGGCAAGGACTCACCCCGTGTTGCACAACAAGCCCAAGGTTGGAGGGCTGAGAACCTTGAATGGTGGGCTCTGGTATGTGGGCATTGTCAAAACAAAACAAAAAAAGCTATTAATTTCTTTCCTGATTCTAAAAGCAACATATACCTTATGGAAACTTTAAACATTGCAGAAATATGTAACTTGGAAAGAGAGACACCACTGTAGCCTAATAAAACTAATGTATATTCAGTAGGTTTTATTTTCTGTGTACACACACCTAGATTTAAAACAATGGGACCATCCTGCGATACTCTTGCCCAATCTATTTATTTATTTTTCCACTTATAATACACTAGGCTGACCCTGGGTAGCTTACTCAGCCTCTGTGAGCCTCATTTTCTGTGCAGGCGAACTGAAGACGTTACTACCTCCTGGAGTGGCTGGAAGACTGAGAGGTAATGTACAGAGTGCCACACACGGTGCCCACCCACAGTGGGGGCACAGTCTTCAGTTCCCGGTCCCCACTGGCCTTCCATTCCCACATCCCCTCGCCAACTCCCTTCACCTTGGAGCTGGCCAACCCTTTGGGTGGTTGCTTATCTGGGTGTCGCCCTCTTGTGCTGGCCACTCTGCTGGTAGGCCACCCGCAGAGGAAACCTGGGGCCACAATGTACCAGGAAACTGCAGTTACAGAGCCTATTTGTCCAACTCCGTTTCTGAGAGGACAGGGAGAGAGGACACCGTGCGCTGGCCTCTGCCTGCTGATGTGAAGGAGACCGGAGCCCAGCAGGCACACAGCAACCTGATCTAACCCAGGTGGGCCTGGCCTCACACCTGGCAGTGGCTCCAGCTGCGTAATGAAATGGAGACTTGTGGGCACCTGGAGACAGGTGCTCCTGCTGCTCATCGACTGACTCATCAGGAACCCTTGTGCCAGAGAAGCCAGACTGTCCACCTCTCCCAGGGCACACAGCTGGTGCTGCCAGGAGCCGCGGGAGTTCCAGTTCCAACCGTGGCACTTACATAGCAAGCCACTTCCGATCTCTGGGGCTCCCCTGTAAAACGGAGGTGGGTGGCCTCCTCCCAGGGCCACAGTGAGGCTTCCACGGTACAGTGCCTGCAGAGGGCCTATCGCAGTGCCTGGCACATGGGGACACATTCCTGAGCAGCCTTTCACACAGGACTGTTTGGGAGAAACGCTCCTCAAAGGAAATGTCCACATCAAATGGCATCTCTCAGTCTCCTCCCCAGCCCTGTTCCCACTGGCTTGCTCACAGGATACTTTGCCAAAGGCTGTGTGTGGCCTGGGGCCCCAGCCCCTCTGCCAATGACACCAGATGGGCCTCTGGGTAAAGTCTCGGTCTTGTCCTTGGGAAAACGGGTCAGGGTGTTTAAAAGCTGTACAAACCCATCTGCCCAGATGTAAGCTTGGGTGGCATCTAATACATCAAAGAGATGACAGAAGAGCTGGTGCAGTGGGGGCGGTGATTCCCCCTGGCCCCTCCCTCAGCACTGGCAGCCTCTAAGGGAATGCTTCAGAGAAGCTGGACACCTCTGAACTAGAGTCCCTGCCAGGTGGCGAGGTGACACAGGTTGATGGGGCTCGGCCCAGGTCAGGCAGAGCCAGGGCCCAGGGAGCGCCAGGGCACTTGTGCTCAGTGTCCAGTCCTCCCAGTCCCGGTCCGGGGCCTCCACCCTCCAGTGCTCACCAGTGTCCCACATGGTATGGTGCTCAATCGATATTTGCAGATGATGCCAAATTCTAGAAGCTGATATGGAGGGGATGGAACACAAGTAGGAGCCAGAGAGCCAAATTAATATCTGCCCTGTGCTAGCTGTGTGTCCTCAAAGGAGTCTCTTTCCCCCTCTGGGCCTCGTTTCCTGATATGGAGAGAGAATTATACCAAATGATTTTGAGTCCCTTCCAATTTTAAAATGTTTTAGTTATATATAGGCATTGATCTTAAGAGTGCCTATTCCTTTGATCTACTAATTCTACTTTAAAATAGTATTTAAATTACAAACAAAAGATGTTAATCACTAACATTAACTTAAACAGTGAAAAACTGGAAATAACTTAAATTTGCAACTCTGGGGAAGGGGTTCAGTAAACGATGGATGTTCGCCCAAGGCCGAGTTCTGTATCCATTCGCTATGACCACTTCAAAGGCAATGTGAAAACATGGGGACGTGCTTATCACACTAGACAAGGCAAACAAATTTGGACAGGTGATCACAGATGAAGACAAACAAACCAAAAAACTGTGCAAACAGATGTTCAACCTCACAAGTGACCCGAGGACTGCAAAATAAAACGAGACGCTATTTTTAACCCTATCAGATTGGCAAAAATGAAAGAGCAACACTACCCAGTGTTGGCAAGAACGGAGGGGAAGGGCACTCTCACGAAACTGCTGGAAGTGGACAGAAGTACAACTTTGAGAAGGGCTGTTTGGTCGTAGCTATCGATATTTAATGTGCTCAACCTGTGGGGTCAGGAATTCCGCTTTTTGGACATGATCCTATAGAAATGCTCATACAAGAGGCCAAGGAGAGATGTAAGAGAATCTTCATTGCAATCTTATTTTTAAGAGCAAAACATCTTAAGCAATATAAATACTCATCAGTAAGCAGTGAATTAGTTCAATTATTTACATGCAACAATGGGATCCTATGGGATGAAATGAGGGTGTGTACACACCCCCACACACAGAAATAGGCCTTAAAGAACACACACCAAACTGTTACAAGCAGTTGTGTGCCTGGGAGTGAAAAGGCATGTTAGCTTTTTCTTTATATATTTCAATATTGTTGTACTATTTATGTAGTTTAAAAACTTAAAAAAAATCTATGCACCAAAAAAGAGAAAATAAATACACCAAACACGTTAGCCAACAGCTGACTTTGGGTCATGTTTATAGGTAGAGTCTTTTCTTTCCTATTACTTTCTACATTTGCCAAGTCTCTCATTATAAAACTCATAAAAACTCTCATAAAAAACTGTTATTAAAAATCATACAGTAAATTGAAGAAGTGTCCATTCTGAGGCATCAAATCAATTACTCAAAATTTGGCTTTGTCTTCTTATAGCAGTTTATGTGACCTCTTGGAACTCGGTTTCCCCATCTATAAAATGGGGTTGCTGTGAGTATCAAAGGATACCCGGCAGGCGGTAGGGGCAGAGGAAATAGAAGCTTTGTCACTGCCTAAGTCAGCTCTGACTAGATCCTGCTGCCGAACCCCAGTGAGCTGACCCAGGTTGCAGCCTTGACCGGGGTGGCTGTCAGGGTCAGGGTGGGGCAACAGGCTCAGTGCCAGCCCACCCAAGCCTTCCTCCTCCCACCGCTGATGCCCTGGCCTACCTTGCTGGGCTCCAACTCATCTGTCATGACCCCTGTCATGATGACAGCCTCGTCCAGGGAGTAGAGCAGCCCCTCCACAAAGTGGTTCTCCTGCTGCTGGGACTCATGCTGGAATTTGTTACAGATTGCCTCTAGGCCGCGCACTGGCTCAAACCGCAGCTTGATGTACTTCTTGGCGGGAATGATGCGAATCTCGGCAGCCACCAGGAAGCCCAGGGTCCCACACGACCAGGGCACAGCGTAGAACAGGTCTGAGTTTTCTGACTGTGAGACAGAGTCAACACATGCTGAGAACCTGAACCCTGGGCCCCACATCACAGCATGTCATCAACAGGGGCACAAAGAACCTAGGCCGGAATTGAACTCCCGTCACTACCTTGTGCAAACCCACCAGGCGCTTCACAAACTGCTCTCTGCGCCTCAGCTTCCCCTCTGCGGCTTCAGCGTGACACTGAGCTCACATGGCCCTGGTCGGTGCTCAGGGAGAGTGCCGCCTCCCTCCTCCACCAGGCACAGCCCCAGGAAAAGGCCATGACCAGCCCAGGGGACTAAACAGAGCTGAATCCTTACTGAGGGTCACAGTCACCTAGGAACATTAAAATGCCTCCCTTCTGGGACATTACCCACATTTACAAAGCCCTTCCAGCCCATCGGGTATGGAATCTCCACAGCCTAGAGAGCGCATGAACACTCCCAGTCAAACAGATAAGGAAAATGAGGGGCCAAAGGCGACACAGCTCACCCAAGCCTCCCGCTGTGCGCTCTGATGCTGGGGCTCAGGATGATCACTTAACCCCCAATCCGGTGTTCTCCCTGTAAAGCCTCATCTGCTTCTAACATCATCATGTTCTTGTTTTGGCAACACAAGGGACTTTTTCTCTGGCCATTCTAACTCTGATTCTTTGATTCTAATAAAGCACCTTTTGAAAAAGTCCAGCTTTGTCTGGGCTTTACCCAGAGGACAGCTGTGTGGTCTTTGCTGCCCTCACTGTAGCTGGTGGGGCAGGAGCTAGAGCAGGGGGCTCTGCAGCAGGCCGGCTGAAGCCTCTAGAACAGTCGACGTGGGCAGTGGATGCCCATCTGGGCCACCCGTAATCGCAGCAGCAATGCCCAGGTGTCTGCTGCAGGCTACTTTCTCCTCCTGACAACACATCTGTCAGACCGGAACCTGGGCCTCAGAGAAGGTTGGTAACTCATGAGTGTCTGTCTCCTCTTTTTGCTGGTAATAAATAGGTTAGAAGGCGGGCCCAGCCTGTTCAGGGAAATGAGCTAAACCAGTGTGAAAGGGGTTGCTCTTGTCCAAGACCTGAGCGCCAAGCCGGGAGAGTCCAGTGGCCCTGGAGGCTCTCTGAAACATCCCTTCGGAAGGCTCGCACGGCCCCTCCCATCCAGGGCCCCTGAGGCACGCTCGGGGAGACCGAGTTTCTCTAAGGCTTCAATCCTGTCCTACCCCCCGGATAAATGCCTTCGATGTCTGTGTCCCACTTTGGGCAGTAAATTGTTTTTTTATTTCTTCAAAACAGCCCCTCTTACCACTTTCAGTCAACCCTCACACCATCTGCCACACTTTGATGCTAAGGCCCACTTTCCCTAGAGAGGAGCAGAGGGCGCCGAATGGCTGAGGACACGGATCTGGGAGCTGGAGAACCTGGATCTGAATCCCAGCGGGGTGGGATTTACTGGCTGTGACCTCGGGTGTGTTTACTAACCCTCTATGCTTTAGTTTCCTATCTGTAAAATGTGGCTAATAATAGTACTTACCTCATAAAGTTATTGAAGGATTAAAAGTCTTAATATATGTAAAACATTTCAACAGTGTCTGAGCACAGAAAGGGGCTATATAAATCTTGGTTGCTGTTATGAATTCAGACCCAGACTGAACAACTATATTTGAAATGAAGCACCCCCAAGGCGCCACCTCCCCAATGCCAGGGTCCTAGACGCCCAGGGCAGGCGGGTGGGCATCTTGACTCTCTGAACTCACCGGTGTGCAGCGCACAAAGCTGCCATCAGCCAGGACCAGCTCGTAGGCGGTGCAGATGTGCTGGAAAAGGCCGTACTTGTGAGATGACGACTCGATGCCCGTGCCCATGATCAAGCCCCCTGCAAAGACACACGTGTTAGCGGGAGGAGCTGTGGGGTGCAGGGTGGTGGTGGGGAGAATCGGGTACAGGGCACTTCACTGGAGCCGGGGAGCTCAGAGCACAAGGGTGATATGACAGGGCTGGCCAAAGTGGGCGGTCCGCTGGCGGAGACTTCCCACCTCTGTGGATCTGGAGAGCAGGCGAGAGAAGGACTTCGATGGGAGCGTGAGGGCTTGCTCAGAGGAAGGGGACAAAAAAGAGACCCGACAAGGGCACTCATACCCTCACCTCTGGCCAGACCCAACCTGCAAACCTGTGTGCATTCTTTTTCAGAGGGACCTTAATGAAAAGGGGGATTCTTTGGATGGCAGGCAGCTGTGTCCCATGGGAACAGTTAAAGGGACTGAAGGTGCTTTCCCCGGATAAGAGAAGACCTTGGGGACCGTAAGTCCTCCAGAAGGAAAGACTAAACATATTCTGTGTGCTCCACAGGGCAGAACTGGAGCCATGGATATGTCATAGGGGAGCAGATTCGCGCCAGAGACTGGAAAGTGCTATCTGGTCATTGGAGCTGTTCAGAAATAAAGTGGTCAGCAGGGAGCGCCCTGTCTTTGGAACGGGGTGAGGGGACTTCTGTCACAGACGGAATAGTGGCGACTCCTGTACTGGAGGGAAGGTGGGCCAAGGTGCCTCAGTTCTGATCCTAAGACTGTCTGAGTCCTTACCCACTGTGAGGTCATCGAGCTCGGGCAACACAGGCAGGGTCCAGCCAATGGAGGTCAACAGGGTGGTCACCTGACCCATGGTCACCAAGGGCTCCACACGGACAATCTGTTGACACGAGAAGAGAAACTCTGAGTCACGAGGAGGCTGCCAGGCCTCATGGGGGCTTCTGCATGCAGAAGGGGTCCTTCAAACCTTCCCAAACGATTACCGAGATCTGCACTCAGCAGGACAGAGTACTGGAGAGGAAACTAGGAGAGAACTGAAGAGCTGCAAAGGGTGCTCACTGAGCATACAACTGAGTGCAGGTCAGAGCGTACACGTCAGCACATTGCCTGAGGCTGAGGCTGGGGAAAGAGCTACCAGAAAGGATAACCGGTAACAGTATCTGTTCCCACGAGCCTGGAAACTTCATGCTTCACAGGGTATTGGGTAGAGTCCTCAGAATGGTCTTGCCTCACAGAGGGGAAGACCTATCCCTAGATTTAAATGCTCTCTGGCCCCACCTGAAAAAAATTAAGACCCAACAGTATCAAACTGTTTCCCAGTAACTCAGCTATATCCCTGAACAAAGCTTAAGGTTTATAGGAATACAAAAATAGCCAGCCAAGGTAAACTTCACAAAATCCAATCAAAGTTTAGGCATGCCGAGGGGCAGACAAATTCAACCCACCATGAGGAGAAAATTCAATTAATTTGTTTTGATAAAACGGACCCAGATTTGACACAGATATTAAAATTAGCAAACATGGGCATTAAAATAATTATTGTTATAGTGCCTCTGTTCAAAAGTTAAGCAGAGACATCAAAAAGATAGTAAAGAGACCCTTATCAAACTTCTAGATATAAAAACCACGATATCTGGGAAGAAAAATGCACTGGCTGGGATCGACAGCAAATTAGACATCGCAGAAGAAAAGGGTAGTGATAGAAATGATCACAGCAATAGAAATTATCCACAACGGAACACTGAAGGAAGAACATTTAAAATCAATAGTTACCAGAGTGAGCTGAGCTGTGGAACAACTTCAAGTGGCCCAATATATGTGTGAGGTGGTCCTCAAAGAGGAGAGGGTAGCGAACAGAAAAATACTTGAAGAAATAAAGACCCCAAAATTTCCAAATTTGATGAAAATTATAATAACTCCCAAGCACAAGAATTATGAAGAAAACTGTACCAGTGCACATTATAAGTAAACTGCTCAAAACTACTGATAACAAGAAAATTGGAAAAATAGCCAGTCGGGGGAATAGATGTGTGTCATGCAGAGGAACAAAGATAAGGATAAGAGATTTCTTGTTGGAAACAATGCAAGCAAGACGACAGTGAAGCGTCTTTAAAGTCAACCTGGAATTCCATACCCAGTGAAAATATCTTTTTTTTTTTTTTTTTTATCTTCACCCGAGGACATTTTTCCATTTTTTGTACAGATAGAGTGGGAGGGAGAGAGAGAGAGAGAGAGAAACATCGACGTGAAAGGGACACATTGAGTGGCTGCCACCCGCACGACCAACCAGGGCCAGGGATAAACTGCAACCGAGGTACATGCCCTTAGCAGAAACCGAACCCGGGTCTCTCTGGACCGCAGGCCGATGCTCTAACCGCTGAGCCAAACCGGCCAGGGCCCGGTGAAAATATCTTTCAGAAATGAAGGCAACTATATATCCATTAGGATGGCTACTTTAAAACAAAACAAAACAAAACACAAAACCAGGAAATAACAAGTGTTGGTGAAGATGTGAAGAAACTGATGCCCACCGTTGGTGGGCATCTAAACTGGAATAGCTACTGTGGAAAACAGTATGGCATCTCCTCAAAAATTTAAACATAAAATTACCATATGACCCAGCAATTCCAATTCTGGGCATATAGCCCGAAGAATTAAAAGCAGGGTCTTGAAGAGACATTTGTACATCCATGCTCATAACACCATTATTTAGAACGGCTAAAACGTAGAAGCAACCAAGAGTCCATTAATAGACAAATGGACAAGTAAAATGTGGTATATACACATATGGAATATTAGTCAGCCTTAAAAAGGACTGAAATTCTGCAATATTCTATAACATAAATGAACCTTGAGGACATTCTGCTAAGTGAAATAAGCCAGTCACCAAAAGGCAAATATTGTATGATTCCACTTACATGAGGTACTCAGAATAGTTAAAATCACAGAGACAGAAAGTAGAACAGTAGTTGCCAGGGGCTAGGAGGAGGGGAGAATAGAGAGTTATTGTTTAATGAGTATAGAGTTTCAGTTTTGCCAGATGAACAGAGTTATGGGGATGGATGGTGATGATGGCTACATAACCTTATGAACATATTTAATACCACTGAACTGTACACTTAAAAATGGTTAAGACTAAATATCATGTTAAGTATACTTGACCACAATAAAACCTAGAGAAAAAATGAAGGCAAAATAAATGTTTTCAGAGATACAACAGTTCAAAGAGTCACCACCAGCAAAATCACCATATAAGAATGTTAAAGGAGGTCCTTTGGGCAGAAGGAAAATGAAAGCAGATGCAAAAATGAATCCAGCCCAGCAGGTGTGGCTCAGTGGTTGAGCATCGACCCATGCACCAAGAGGTCGCCAGTTCAATTCCTGGTCAGGGCACATGCCCAGGTTACCGGCCTGATCCCCAGTGGGGGGCAGTCAGGAGGCGGCCAATGGATGTTCTCTCTCACGGATGTCTCTATCTTTCACTCCTTCTCCCTTCCTCTCTCTCTATAATCAATAAAGAAAAAAGAAGAAAAAGAACTACGAATCCATACAATGGAATAAAGAAATGGCAACTATATGGGTAAGTATATAAGATTTTTTCTTATTATTTAAATTTATTTAAAAGATAAAATGACTTAAAAATAATGTAGTGTGGGCTTTATAATGTACATAAAAGTCTGACGACAATGACACAGAAGTAGGAAGGAGAGAAATGAAGTGAATAATTACAATAAGATTCATATACTATACATAAAATAGGATATCGTTTAAAGGTAGACTGTGATAAGTCAAGTGTATGCTATGAATCCTGAAACTACTGCTAAAATAACAAAACAAAGAGTTACAGCTAATAAGCCAACAAAAGAGCTAAAATGGAATAAAAATTATTTGGTAATCCACTTGAAACTAATACAAAATAACAATAAATATAAACTATAATTGAAAAAAAATTAGTTGAAAACAACAACAACAACAAAGAATATTTAATAAACACTATTCTGTCTTCAAAAAAATGTATTCAGTAATCCAAAAGATAGAAAAAATAAAGAAAACGACAATAGGAAGAAAGAACTAATGGGAAAAACAGAAAACAAAGAACCAGGTGACAGTTAAGCCAAACTTTACCAATAACAACATCAAATGGAAATGGTCTTACCATCTCGATTAAAAAGAAGATGGTCAGATTGGATTAAAAAGCAAGACCCAACTAAATGTTGCCTACAAGAAATACATTTTGAATATTTAAAAACCCAAACAGGTGAAAAGTAGAAGGATGGAAAAGATACACCATACTACCACAAGTCAAAAGAAAAGATAGAATGGCTTTATCAATACCAGATGAAGTAGATGTCAGAGCAAAGAATATAACTAGAAATAAAACAGGGCATTTTGTAATTATAAAGGCTAAATTAATTAATCAAAAGGACAGAAAGCCCCGGCCACGTGGCTCAGTAGGTTGGAGCATTGTTCCATACACCAAAAAGGTTGCGGGTTTGATCCCTGGTTGGGGCACATATGGGAGGTGACCAATCAATGTTTCTCTCCCTTCCTATCTCTCTAAAATCAATAAACATACCCTCAGGTAAGGATTAAAACAATTTTTTTTTCAAGAAAGGACATAAAATTCTTAAACATTTATATACCTAATAAGAGCTTCAAAGTACATGAAGCAAAAACTGACGGAACTGCAAGAGATATAAACAAATCCACAATCATAGGCAGAGATTTCAATAATTGACAGAATAATGCAGAGAAAATCTGTAAGGACATATACTTGAACAACACTATCAATCACCTTGACCTAAATGACATTTATAGTACACACCATCCTAAATAGCAGAATACACATTATTATTTTTTAATCTCACCTGAGGATATCCTCCCCCTCCCCCCCCATTTATCTTCAGACAGAGTGGGAGAGAGGGAACGGGGAGAGAGAGAGAGAGAAACAGAGAAACATTGATGTGAAAGAGACACATCGACTAGTTGTCTCTTGCACAACCCCGACCAGGGCCGGTCCAAACCGCAACCGAGGCGTGTGCCCTTGACTGGGATTGAACCTGTGACTCTTTGATCCGTGGGCTGATGCTCTCTCTAACCACTGAGCAAAACTGGCCGGAGCAGAAGGCACATTTTAAAAGAATGTGCATGAAAAATATGATTATCTAACTACTATGCTGTACACCTGAAACTAACACAAAATATTGAATGTAAAATAAATAACTCAAAAGAAACAAAAACAAAAAGTACATGAAACATTTACAAAAACAGACTATATTCTGGGCGACAAAGTAAATCTCAATAAACTGAAAAACATTCTGATCATACAAAGTATATTTTCTGACAACTGAATTAAATTAAAAATCAGTAACAGAGCTCTGGAAAATTCCCAAATATTTGGAAACGAAATAACATACTTCTAAATAACCCATGGGTCAAAGCAGGTATCAAAAAAGGAAACCAGAAAGTATTTTGAATTGAATGAAAATGAAAAGATAACATGTCAAAATTTGTGGATCGGCTCAAGGGGGAAATTTATGCACATGTGTATGTAAATGTGTATGTAAAATACTACAACCACATTGGAAGCCAAGTTGGCAGTTTCTTAAAAAGTTCACCCCACACCTATCATTATGATCTGGCTATTCCTATCCTGGGTGTTTAACCAAGAAACAGAAAAGCATACATCCATACAAAGCATGTCCATAAATGTTCCTAGCCACTTAATTTGTGATTGTCCAAAGTTGGAAATCCCCCAAATATCCATCAATAAGTGAAAGGATAAACAGGCTGTGATACATCCACACAATGGAAAACTACTCAGCAATGAAACAGAATGTAATTCTGATACATGCTTCAACAAGGATGAATCTCAAAATAATTATGCTGAGTGAAAGAAGCCAGACATAATAAACATAATGCATGATTCCGTTTATATAAAACTCTAACTATAAACAAATTTATAGTGACAAAAAGCAGGTCATTCTTTGCCTAGGGATGTGGGGGAAGAGGCAGAGAGTGGCCTGCGGAAGGGATTAGCAAGGGGCAAGAAGAAACTTTACGGATGATGGGTAGCTTCATTATCTTGAGTGTGGTAATGGGGTCACAGGTGTATACATATGTTAAAGTTTACTATCAAATTGTACTTTATGTGCAGCCATCATGTAGACATATCTAACAACTGTTACTATTTGGATATTTTGTCGTCTTCAATTAGAAATAAAGCTGTGATAAAAATAAAGGAAGGAAGGAAGGAAGGAAGGAAGGAAGGAAGGAAGGAAACTGTGAAACAATCTTTCTCTGGGCTGTCTTTAAGCTTTATTTTCTGTTTTTTTGAGCCAGATTTTAGAACCAGAATTACTAGATAGGCCAAAGAGTATGCACATGTCTATAGCTATTAACAAGTGGGTCCCCAGGAAGCTTGGAAAAGGGCCCACCCTCCCAGCCACTTCCACAGCCCCGTTTGCCAGCACACTTCCTTACCAGGAAGGGCAAAACAGGTTTCCTTTGTGTCTCATTTTGCCCATGATTTCCCCATCTCTGTCTTCCTGTGGAATTGCAGATAATCAATGAATCCTCCTGAACTCTCAGGTGGGGCTATGACCAATCTCTTTCAAAGCTATGAGGCTTTGGAGAGTGGCAATGGTCAGCAGAGCCTTCTGTGATGTCTTCTCTGTCCTGTCCACTCTGGGATACCCTTGGTTGAAATCATCTCCCTGCAAGTCACTTGTACCAAGGGCAGTGCGCCACCCACTCCCAGAGCCAGGGAACCATGCCACTCTCACCTGTTTCTTGGTGTCCACCTCCAGAATGTCCATCAGGTTGATCATAATGTTTTTGTGTGTCTTCTTGTACTTCCCAACCCGGAGCGAGACGGTGAGCCAGCCAGGGCGCCCTGTGCACATGAAGGTCTTGCTGCCTTGCTCCTTCCATTCTCGTACCTGCAACCACGGGACAGAGGCTGAGCTGGCCAACGTGGACCCCCAGAGCAGCTCGAAGCCCTGCTTTCAGGAGAGGGAGCTGGGAAGAAAACCTTCACTCGTCAGCAAACATTTACTGAGCCCTTGCCTCTTCCAGGCACCGGAAGGCCCACTGGCCTTCCCCTCTGGGCTCTCCCTGTCTAGGGAGGCCGACAGAAACACTGGATGCTGCCACACCACAAAGCAGAGTGAAGAAAGAGCTAAAACACAGGATCCGTGTGCTTTGAGAAGGTTAGCTCTAACTGGGAAGGTCAGGGAAGGTTTTGTAATGGTAATAGTAGTAACCATAGAAATGATAACCATTTACTGGGCGCTTACACTGTGCCAGGCACTGTCTCATTTAATTCTCGCAACAACCCGAGGAGATCGGAATGACCTCCTTTTGCAGATGAGAAAACTGAGGCAAAATAACTTGCTCAAGGTCATACAACCAGTGAAAGGCAGAACCCAGATTCACAATCAGGCTTCTGGAAGGACATGATGAGCTTGTGTTAACAGTCAATAGAGTAACAGCTAACATGTACAGAGGCTTGTTATGTGCCAAGCCCTGTTCTTAGCACCTGTATGTGTTAACTCATGTATCACTTCGAGGAAAGGGGCAGGGAGGGACCACCAAGCCAATGGAAGGAAAGCTTTTGCAAAACCTGTACTGTAAGTGACCAGAGCACAAAACACAGAAAACAAATGGCCCAGGAGATGACAGGTCATTAGGAACATGGGAGGAAGTGCTCCCTTGCTGCTGAGATGGACAAGGGCAGGGGGCTGGCTATCTGTTGCTGTAACCTGTGACCATCCATTTCTTCTTTATCTCTCACTGTACTGAGGCTGCTGAGCTGGTTGGATGTAAGCCAGAAACTGCTGGGGCCTCCACAGGGAGACAGCCTCCCTGAGAATGAAGTCAACCCAGAGGAAAGCAGAGCAGAGATGGCAGATGGATGGAAAGATGGAGATGGGGTATCCTAGATCCTGTCACTCCCTAGTCAGTTTTACTCCTTGACTTTTCAGGACCTGGGTCAATAAAGTCCCTTGTTTTGCTCAACAGTCTAAGCTGAGTTTCTATCACTTGCAACCAAGAGTCTGGGAGGAGATTGCACTGAAGTTGATCAGGCAAACAGCTCAACATGGGGAAGAACTTTCCTATCATAAGAGGCCAGGGTGCCATAGGAAGTAGAGGCTTCGGAGCAGAGAGGAGTCATTGAGGAAGGAATCCTGTGAATTAGGGACGAAGGCATGGCAGGAGGGGACTCCATGGCCACGCAGGCCTTGCCCCTGCCTGACTCTGCAGTCCCAGGACGTAATACAGGCTCAGAGTTATGGAGAATGGATTGGGGATGCTACATTCAAGCAGGAGGGTGGGCCACAAGACATGAAGTGAATGTGGAAGCCATGAAACCCGAAACACTGATTGAATTGGAGCCAACCAAGATTTTTGGCAGGGTGGCAATGCTGTGGGGGAATGGCCGTTGTGACTATGTACAGACCCAAGAGAAGTGGGAAGAGCCCAGAAGAAGGGCAACTAGTCCGGTAGCTACTACATGCCTGGTGTGAGGCAACAGAACCAGACCTATAGGGTAGAATGCAATGGGATGGGAAAGAAAAAATGTCAGCAATCAGGCTCTGAAATCACCTGCCCTGGATTCCAGCCCCAGTTACTAGCTATATCTTCTCGAGCACTGAATTACAGTTTGAACTTCAATTTTTCCCCACTGTAGAACAGGTACATGATCTACCAGGGTTGCTGTGAGGATTAGAAATAATGGACATTCGTGGCACAGGGTGTGGCAATGGCAGGCTGAGCCCCCTGTCTTCCTGTACAGTGAGCCCTTTGGTTTAGTTTAAATAAGCAAGAGCTCAGTGGGCTGTTCTGGGCCAGGTCCCATGGGCCAGAGGTGAGTTGGCTAAGAGTCCCTGCCCTCCAGGCGCACACACTCTGATGGCGGAGACAAACAGGTCAATGGAGCATCTGAAAGCATGGAAAGAGTTATGAAAGAGGGTGCAGCTGGGGAGGAAGGGTAGGCAGGGCTCTGGAACCATGACTGTGACCAGCAAAACCCAGGGCAGCCCAAGCAAAGCACTTGCAGACACTGCATTCTCCCACGCGGGCCACGGTCTTCTCCCTTGTGGGAATGCTCTGGGCATCCATCTTCGCACTCTTGCTTGCAGCACCCAGCCCAGTGCACAAAGAACATGGAGGCTGCTACACCTGTGGCATCGGTGGAGGTGGGGTGGGGGTGGGGGGTGTAGCAGGAAACAGAAGCTCTTTGCAACCTGACTCCAGTAACAGAGGAACATAAGGGGGGGCAGAGGGAACCAAGAACCTGCCCAGGCCTGATGCCCATGTCAGCTCTGGATGCAAGAAGGAGCTTGGCTCTGAGCAGCAGCAGGGCAAAGCTCTGTGGGTGCTGACACAGGGAGGATGTACAGAGGTACTGGGAAGTGGATGACTGTTTTGTCCAGGAGTGAGCACCTGGCCCAGAGGCTGCAAGGCTCCTCTCCTTGGCTAAGTGCTACCTCCTCACTTTAGTCCTTTATTCTGAGCACGTCAAAAGCTCCCTGCTGCTACAGAGTAAATGCTAACCTCAAGGCCCCTCCATAACCTCCATAGCTCCAAACTGACTTTCCAATCTTCTTCAGTCCGCCTTCGCTCACATCCAACCCTCCACTGGACACACCTCCACCCAACACACCTCCCCCGAATCATTTCCCCTACTTCCCAGTCTCTAGCCAGCTCCACCTCCCAGAAGCCCCCCTTCCCCTCTGAAGTCACTCGGGCCTGGTGATAGCTACCCGTTCACTGCCCACCAAACCCCTCTCTTTAGATTCTTTACATTCCTCGTGGTATCCGCACATGCTCTGTACATAGTGGGAATTCCATAAACATCGGAGCAACGTTTTATTCTCTCCAAGTCTTTGCTTACGCCCCTCCCCTCCCGAGAAGCCCCCGCCATCATATTTTTTTAGTTCAAATCTCCCTCGAACGGCACGTCACGTCCTCCGTGCCGTCTGGGCTCCCCCTGCCCCGCGAACACTCCATCCTCGTGCCCGACTTGCACACAGACGGCCCTACCCGGAGCCCGGCTCAGGCCCGCGGGAGCGCTCACCTGCTTCTGGATGTCCCGCACGCGCTGCCCATGCAGGCGCGGCGCGCTGCTGAGCTTGAACACCACCCAGGCGCGCACGTAGTAGTAGATGTCGAAGATGAGCGAGAGCGGCAGCAGGAAGAGGCACACGAACACCCAGCGCTGGTGAATGAGCACGAACTCCAGCCCCTTCACGCGGATCCAGAGCAGGAAGAGCAGCGCGCACACAGCCAACGACACGGCGGGCTCCATGGCGGGCCGACGGCGCGCCGCGCGGGGAAGGGTGCCGCTCGCCTCGCCTCGTCCGTCGCCGCCACCCGCTCAGCGACCGCCTGCGACCGCCTGCGACCGCCAGCACTTGTCGCGGGCTCCTAGGGAGGGGGTGTCGCCTCGTTGCCTCACGATTGGTTCGGGTCGCAAAGGTTCGGTGGGCCGAGACCCGGCTGGCGACCAATGGCGAGCCGCGCGGGAGATCGGACCAGGAACCCGCTGTTTTTATTGGCTGCGGGGGTCAGGCCGCTCCACCCTCTTTGCGCCGACGCGGGGAGGGGTTGCGGGGGACCCAGGCCCCGGCGGGCGAACTGCGCTCCCGCCGCCCCACTGGGGCTTCTGGCGGAGGGGGCTGCGGGGGCGCTCCTTAGCTCAGGGGCGCGGCTGCTTCCTCTTCCCGCCCCTTTAGGGGGCGCCTTCTCGAGAGGCGCGTGAAGCGATCACAGGTTGGGTTACCTCCGGAAGGGTGGGGTGGGGGTGTCTTCTGGGCGCTGGGTTAGCCCCGCTGCGGCCAGGGAATCCCGGGCCTGGCTAGCAACCTCCCGCCTTTCCGTGCGCCGAGGGAGCTGGGGAGGCTTGGAGGGGGACGAGCGATGGAAGGAGCTCGAGCTATTGTCCACCCTCTAGCGCCCGCCCTGTGCCAGGCGGCGCTGCCCCAGATAGGGTGGTGAGCAGAGCCCGCGGCCCTGCCCTCATGGAGCAGCCGGTCCAGAGGAGCGGCGGCTGTTACCGGCTAAAGCGTAAATACGATGTTATTTGCATTTCATCTCTTCCAACATTTTCGGAAGAGTAGGGCATTTTTATTTTAGAAGCCAGACAACTTACCAGGCCTGTCCACTGGCCTGCGCGCCTGTCCACATTCCTCTTTGCCTTAACATGCACTCCGGAGGGTCCCAGGGCCCACGCTGCCTCCGTTCAGTGCCTGCTCCAGCTGGCCCCTCCGGAGTGCCCTTTCCGTCCCCTGCATACAGCGAACATTGCACATCCTTGAAGGCAGCTCAGGGCCACCCCTAAAATTAATTTTTGTCACTTCCTTTCCCTTTCAGGTGCTGATAAAATAAATCATGAGTGACATAGATGCACCCCGCCCCCACCGCCCCCCCCCGCCCCCCCGCCAGTGGAAGGGAGGGAGGGGGAGAGGGAGAAACATCACCTGAGAGAGACACATCGAGATGGGTCGCTTCCTCCCTCACTGGAAATTGAACCCGGACCCTTCATTGTGCGGTGGAAGCTCTAACCACAGGGCCACCCCGGCCAGGGCCCATGCATACTTTATTCACATTATAATTGTTTCTTTACGTGTTTCTCACCCTCACAAACTGAGCTTTTACATTTCCAATTTCCAGTCTAATGTTTGGTGCATAGGAGACACCCCAGTGTTTGTTGACCCATGGATGAATGAAGAATGTAGGCAGAGGCTCACTATTCTGTGATGATCAAAGTCCAATAGTGAGAGACTGTTTGGATTAGGCTTGGTCGTGGCTAGTCCAAACTGGGATGTTTTTTTTTTTTAAAGTTTATTTTAGAGAGAGAGAGAAACATTGATTTGTTGTTTAACTTGTTTATGTATTCATTGGTTGATTCTTGTATATGCCCTGACTGGGGATCAAACCCACAATCTTGGCATATTGGGACGATGCTCTAACCAACTGAACTACCGGGCCAGTATCAAATTGTGATGTACTTTAAGTATGAAACATGGTGGATTTCAAAGACTTAGTACAAAAAAAAGAGAATGAAAATATCTCATTAATAATTTTATATGGATTGCATTTGAAATAAAATTTTGATATATTGGGTTAAATAAAATATAGTATTAAAATTGATTTCACTTGCTTTATTGTGGCTACTAAAAAATTAAAAATGACAGATTTGTTTTGCATTATATCTCTAGCAGCTCCTGTCAAGAGGATGTAATTAGAGAGTATAGAGGAGAGGCACTGTGGAAAATGCCTTTTCCCTGGTTCTGTCTGAATTCAAATGTTGGAACTGTTAGAGAGGGAATGAGGTAATCTGGAAAGTAAAGTTCAACCTAAAAATTAACATTTGGACCAAAGTGTTTAGTGCCTTGTAAAAAAAACAACAGAAATTACTGGTAATCAATCAGAATAGTTTTACACTTGGAGAGAGAAAGAGGAAGCCCCTAGAAGTACATAAGACTGATCTTTAGGGTACAACTCTCCAAAAAGAAAAGGAATGGAAAAGTACTCAGAACAATTGTCTATGCATCATGCATGTTCTCATTCTCCCTTCCTGCCTAGTCTGATTATTCTTTTCTCTCTCCACAAACTCCAACCATTTGAGTTGCTATTATCTAGGCAAGGAAAACAGTTACCATGAGTTGGGCCAATTAATTTTATTTTTAGGTTAACATATAGTAAAAGGTGCTTATCTTTGTGTACAGTGTATGAATGTTAGCACATGTAAGGGTTTTTGTAACCACTAACACAATGAGGATACGGAATAGTTCCTCTCCCCCAAAAACCCATTTGAGTTACACCCTTCCCTCTCCCTTAGCTCCTGGCAACCACTACTCTGTTCTTAGTAATTAGAGTTTTGTCTTTTCCAGAAGGTCATGTGAGTGGAATCATGCCGTGTGTAACCTACGCCCCATTACTTGTTTTAAACTAGATATTTTTTTATTATGGTAAAATACACCTAACATAATAATTACCATCTTAACTATTTTTTTTTTTTTTTTTTTTTTTTTTTTTTTTTTTTTTTTTATCCTCACCCGAGGACATTTTTCCATTTTTTACTCAGATAGAGCGGGAAGGAGAGAGAGGAAGAGAGAGAAACATCGATGTGAAAGGGACACATCGAGTGGCCGCCACCCACACGACCCAACCAGGGCCGGGGACAAACTGCAGCCAAGGTACATGCCCTTAGCGGGAACCGAACCCGGGTCTCTGTGGACCGCAGGCTGATGCTCTAACCGCTGAGCCAAACCGGCCAGGGCCCATCTTAACTATTTTTAAGTGTACAATTTAGTGGTATTAAATACATTCACATTATTGTGCAGCTATCATCCCTGTCCGTTCCCATAACTCTCTTCATCTTGTAAACTGAAACCATGCTCATTAAACCATAACTCCCCATTCTTCCCTTCCCCCAACCCCTGGCAACCACTATTCTACTTTGTCTCTGATTTTGACTACTCTGAGTATCTCATAAAAGTGGAATCACACAGTATTTGGCTTTTGGTGATTGGCTTATTTCACTTAGCATAATGTCCTCAAGGTTTATCCTTGATCTGGCATATGTCAGAATTTCCTTCCTTATTAAGCTGACTAATCATCCCCTTTAGGTACTACATTTTGCTTTTTATCCAGTCATCTGTTATGGACATTTGGGTTGCTTGTCTTCTGTAACTATTGTGAATAATGCTGCTGTGAACATGGGAGAACAAATATCTTTTTTTGCAATTCCTTTGGGAATTGGAAATGAAAGTGGAAATGCTGAATCATATGGTAAATCTATGTTTAATTTTTGAGGAAACACGGTACTGTTTTCCACAGTGACTGCATCATTTTATATTCCCATCAACAGCACACAAGGACTCCCATTTCTCCACATCTTCACCAGCACTTGTTTTCTGCATTAAAAAAAAAAAAAAAAAAAAGTTAGCCATCCTAATGGGTGTGAGGTGGTATCTCACTGTAGTTTTGATTTGCATTTCCTCAGTGACTAGTGATGTTGAGTATCTTCTCATGTGCTTTTTGGCCAATCATGTATCTTTGGAGAAATGTCAATTGAAATCCTTTGCCCATTTTTGAACCAGTTGTTTTTTTGTTATTGCTGTTGTTGTTGAGTTTTAGGAGGTCTCTACATACGATGGATATTAATCCTATACCAGATATATGATTTGCAAATATTGTCTTTCATTCTTTGGGTTGTTGGGCCCATTGATTTCTGTCCAAGTCGAGGAAGCTTCCTTTGACAGGGAGTCTACTAAAAACGCATGTATTATTAATAGTGTACATTATTTACATGAAAACTCAGTCATTTAGAATGCTTAGGTGTAGGATGTTCTGGTTAACAATTCTCAGGTTAACTGGAAATTAAGCAAAATCTCCTTTACAGTTTGACCACATAGCAATTTTAAAAATATATGAGTCCCCTTCTTTTTGATATATCTTTATTGTTGAAAGTATTACAGATGTCCCTCCTTTTGTTCCCTCATTGACATCCTCCTCCTCACCCTTGCCCCCTCCCCTTCACCGCATTGTTGTCTGTGTCCCTATTTATTTCTTTATGAATAGAGCCTAATGAACACAAATAATTTTTTTATTATTGAGGAGCTCAATAAACACTAGAATTCTGACAAAGAGCATTTTCTTGTTTTTGTACAGTACATCAACTGAAATCATTTGAGATTTACAATCAGACTGAGGGATGGCAATGCAGAGAACTATTAATTCATGTTGTCTTTAATAAATGGGGACATTCAGATGTAGAGAGCAAGTGATTTGCTCAATTATTACTTTATTCTGGTGATTAGAGAAGTCAAGATAAGGCCCCCCAATCTTCTGGAGCTTTATGTCACTTGAACCTGCTCCCTTGGTTATTGTGTGAAGCACCATTTCCTGTGGCTCAGTTCCATAGATATCAAGTGGAAGTTGTAGAATAGGGTTTCTGGAAGTGTGAGTGGTCTGCAGACCATCCGCAGCAGAGTGCTGGCTACAATGTAGCTTCCTAGACTCCTCCATGTCCCACTGAATCTAAATCTCCAGAGGTGGAGCCCAGGAACTGGCTGTTTAACAAAGGTCTCCACGTTATGTGCATCCTCTAACGCTGAGGATGTTGGACTGAACGTGTACTGACTCTGACACTTCTCTAAGAATATTACCTCTGGTTTTTAAATAAAGCCCTAATTAAAAATTCCTTTCCCTTGCAAAGTGCAGCTTTCACCTAAAAGCCAATTTATCCAGAAAACTATAATATGGGAAACTCCCTGATAATCAAGACTTTATTGTCTTACTACCTTCAGTCATTTAAGAATAGTAAG